GCAGCCTGGAGTGGAGAGAACTAGCCAGTGTTTTATTTCCCTCAGTGCCCCAGAGTTTTTTCTTGTGTCAGGAGTAACTTTAGAAATTGCAAGTCACTTCTAATGTGAGAGAATTGGCTATCTGCAAGAACGTTGCCCAGGGGATGCCTGGATGTTTTACCATCCTGTGGGAGGCTTCTCTCATGTCCCCACATGGGAAGCTGGAGCTGGCAGATGGGAACTCACTCTATCTTGCGGATTCAAACCGCCAACCTTCGGGTTTAACGCTGCTGCTCCTGTCAAATGTAGTAATGTACTGGAACACATTGACTAATACTAAGTAAATATCATTTGGTTAAAAAGGTTTATATACCACGTGGTTGCCACAGGATTTGACAACAATTCAAATTCAGATATATGTTGGCTAATAACCACAAAAGGATAAATGCTTATTCAGATGCACATCAGATGTATAGTTCATGCAATAGTAATCTGTGGTGATATTCAGTCCGTGACTTGCGCAAAAATAATTCATTAGTTTTAGAATAGGTTTTTGAAACAAGTGCATATCTATCACTTTGTTTTAAATGCATTGCTTCACTGCATTCCCAGTTACTGTAGGTATTCAGCTAATGATATACATTCAAAAGTTAATGAGAGCTACTTCTCCACATCTTACAATGCAAATCTACAGTGTTTCATTCATTTTTTGGTGCTATTATATATTTTGGCTGTGCTTATAGCTGTGAGTCTGCCTATGTATCATCATACATAGGCTTCTCTCATGTACCTGCATGAGAAGTTGGAGCTGACAGACAAGAGTACACCCTGCTCCCCAAATTTGAATTGCCAACCTTTTGGTCAGCAGTCCTGCTGGCACAAGGGTTTAACCCACCGGGGGCTCCAGTGCCCCAGAGTGATGTTTCTGGAGGGAATTGAAATAGCTAGAACAAACTTCCTTCATTACATAGAGTGCCAGGCCAGGATGCATCTTTCAAGGGAGTGGGCTCAGGGTAGGCGGTAGATATAATGTCAGCTAAACAAAAACAATGAGACAATTTCTTGTGACCAAGAATGTCAAGCATTTCACTTGTCATATATGTGGGTTAGCATGGGACAATATGAGACTTTATGGGGCCAAAGGGGAATGCCAACTGCCCTTCTCTTTTTATTTTGTTTTCAGTGAAAAAGCATAGGTCCATGCAGCAGGTATATAATGAGTAGCTATTGCCTTAACATAGCCCATTTTTAATGTTAAACTTACTGAATTTCTGCACACAAGAAGCATATGTTGATATAACTGATGCCATCAGTGCCACACACAGCTTGAGCTATTCGGGGACAGTATACCATGTTGCCCACTGATTCTTCAAACACTGCAGTCAACCTATAAACACATTCCAGACAATGTAAATAAATGCAGTTTAATGGACATTATTTTTTGAGCAAGTTTTGTTAGCCAGCTGCATCAAGTTGGGAATCACAAGTACTTGTAGAGGATACCTACATACCTCTTGACCCTCCTGCTTTCACATCTCCTCCTTCACTAGACTTCAGAAAAGATAAATAGGTCCTAGAATGAATTTTCCCTAAAAGCCAAGATGATGCAACTGAGGCAGCCGTACCTTGACCATGTGACATGGAATGAGGACTCACTAGAAAGGTCAGTAATTCTTGGTACAGTGGAGAGAAATAGGAAAAGAGGAAGGCTACCATCCAGATGGTTGGACCCAATCAAAGAAGTCAGGGCCCTGAGTCTGCAAGATCCGAGCATTGAGGACAGAGTTGCTTTGAGACCTCATTCATAGGGTCACTAGAAGTCAAAGTTGACATGAAGGCAATTAACAATAACCATAAACCATTTGGGACTTGCACCATCTTGGAAGTCATTTCAGAGTGAGAGCACAAGAAAGCATTTTCTTTTTGTCTCACTCTCTTCCCACTAGATGGCAAATAATTGGAAGGGGACAATCAACACAACAGAAACAATTGCTTAGTCTACATCCTTAGTAATATGGGATGGTTTCGATTTCAAATTAAATTAGAATGATACTTACGCATTTTCCTTTGTGAGCCAAGTCTGTATTGGATCCAACTCTAGACAAAGAACCATGAGTTAAATAAGAAACTGACCAAATGTGTGAGGCATCTAGAAATGAAGTATAAGATGGTGTGCAATGTGACAGTACATGATATTGGGCATTTATTTTTAGAGGTAAGTCCCTAGACTTACTCCTAGACTTAACCCTAGGCTGAGAGGAGACATGATAGCCATGTATAAATACTTGAGAGGAAGTCATAGGGAGGAGGGAGCAAGCTTGTTTTCTGGTGCCCTGGAGACTAGGACGCAGCACAATGGCTTCAAACTACAAGAAAGGAGATTCCAGCTGAACATTAGGAAGAACTTCTTGACTGAGAGCCATTCATCAGTGGAACTGTCTGTCCCGGAGTGTGGTGGAGGCTCCTTCTTTGGAATCTTTTAAACAGAGGCTGAATGGCCAGCATCCTGCTTCTTGGCAGGGGGTTGGACTGGATAGCCCACGAGGTCCCTTTCAACTCTATGATTCTATGATTCTATGTCATGTGTGGCTTGCTCCCAGGTAAATATGCAAAGAATAGCATATTAAAACTTACCCCTTGCCTTGCAACATTTTTTCTGTCCTCTACAACAGAGATGAGTATGTGGTGGAATGCTCTATTATTGGACTGCAACTCTTATCATCCCCAAGCTGAGTTAAAGAAGGGCCACTTTATTGATTTAATTGTATTGTAACAAGCCTGGACAAAGCAAGAGGGGGAACTTACCTGATATGGGTTAGCTGAGATTCAGTGTCAACCATTGACTACCTCTTCAACCTACCCTTTGGCAAAGCGCATGACCCAGGGGGCAGTCCAATAGTGTGGCTGAAATTTGTAGGCCTCTATATGTTTACTTAGTTAATTTTGTCCTGTCCTCAGTTATAGTGCCAAGTGTCAATGAAAAGGAAATATTCCCTCATTTCATATTGATCCTGAAATAGCCTTTTAAACTGAGGAAAGATCTAGACTACAGAATTAAGGTTGCATGACACAATTTTAACTGCCACGGCTCTATGTTAGGGGATTCTGGAAGTTGTAGTTTGGCGAAGCATCAGCACTCTGGCAGAAAAAAGGCTAAAGACCTTCTAAAACAACATACCCTTGCCTTCCATAGTATTATGCCAAGGCAGTTAAAGTGATGTCAAACTGCATTCATTCTACACATCCCAAGTCTTGATTTCCAGGTAGGAATATTGTGTGCAAGATAAAGAGAGAAAACTTGATGACATTGTTCAGTGCAGCTGTGGTTGGCATGTAATGTATAACCCTTAAGATATACGTGCTAGTAATCTCAAGGTTGGACTTCTGCAGTATGCTATAGGTAAAGATAAAGGTTTACCCCTGACATTAAGTCCAGTCGTGTCCAACTCTGAGGTGTGGTGCTCATCTCCATTTCTAAGCCGAAGAGCCAGCATTGTCCGTAGACACCTCCAAGGTCATGTGGCTGGCATGACAGCATGGAGTGCCGTTACCTTCCCACTGGAGTGGTACCTATTGATCTACTCACATTTGCATGTTTTCGAAATGCTAGGTTGGCAGAAGCTGGGGCTGACAGCGGAAGCTCACGCTGCTCCCTGAATTTGAACCTACGACCTTTTGGGCAACAAGCTCAGCAGCTCAGCGTTTTAACCCACTGCGCCACCGGGGGCTCCAGTACAGTATGCTATACATTCAGTTAACTATGTAGCAAGTTTAGAAAAAACAAATAGTTCAAAATATTGCCGCTAAATTGATTACGGGAACATCTAGAAGTGAGTATATTACACCTATAATAAAGTCACTCCACTGGGTCTCAGTTTTTGGTCTGGAACCATCAGGACTTGCAACAAGCCTGATCTGGAATCCCTGCCATTTATTATATTCTGCTTTTTTAAAAGTCTGCAATGTAATAATGTTTAGTTAGATAGTTGTGTTGTCCTTGAGTAGATGTACTCTTTCTGATTTGAACAGTGAGCATCTAAACATCCAAGCATCCTCAGTTTACTGATTGAATGTTTTTGTGGTGCAAATCTACCTGTTAGTCCTAACAGGAGAAGATGTAAAAAATATCAATGGAACTTCCCTAAATGTTGCCTTACTGTATTTTATTAATGGATGAATGAGACGATTTTATACTGTTTAAATATGATAGGTTTCAATTGTTCTGCATTGTTATATCTAGGTATTTGTTGGTTATTTTGTGAGTTGATTTGGGTTTCACTCCAGGAAAAAAAGCAGCTTATAAAATAAATTAATGTGTGCGTGTGTGTATTATTATTATTATTATTATTATTATTATTATTATTATTATTAAACTTTATTTGTACCCCGCTAGCATCTCCCGAAGGACTCGATGCGGCTTACAAAGGCCAAGGCCTCAACACAACAGCAATAACAACACAAAACAATACAAAACAAAGCAAATTAAAAACATAAGCAATAGCAAAACATTACACTATTAGACAATAAAAACCATGGCCGGGCCAATGATGGGTACAGGTTAAAAAGTGCTGGGTGTGACAGGAGGTGTATTGGAAATCTGGGCAAGTGCCATGTGCAGAGAGTCTTAAACTCTAGTAAAGTGCTTCTCGGACAAAGTGCTGGGTTATCCTATTCTGGAAAGGCACGACGGAATAGCCAGGTCTTCAAATTCTTCCTAAAGACTGCCAACGTGGGTGCTAGTCTAATGTCTTTAGGGAGGTCGTTCCAAAGTCGGGGGGCAACCACAGAAAAGGCCCTATCCCTCGTCCCCACCAAACGCGCCTGCGACGCAGGTGGGATCGCAAGCAGGGCCTCTCCAAATGACCGAAGGGAGCGTGCGGGTTCATAAACGGAGACGCGGTCACGGAGGTAGGCAGGTCCCAAACCGTACACAGATTTGTGTTAAATATTTACAGTTTCCCCTTGTCCCAGAGCAGGTTTTTTGGAAATTATGTATTGGTTAACACCTTATATGATTTCACCAAGTCGTGCAAAGGAGCCGTGCAAGTACTCACAGGATTTCAGCACACAGCAAACATTCATTGCCATAAGTTTTGCCATCAATTCCACAGACTGGGTCACGTTGCCGAGGACAGCATATTGGAGCTTCTTCTTCTTGCTGCTGCTGCTGTGGATTATACTTTTCGCAATCAAGCTGCAGAATAATGGCAGTGAAAAAGATTAGAATACATAGTACCACATTTAAGGAAAACTGTTTTTGCCCACAAGACAGAAAAGACTCCCCTTCTTCATTAGTAAATATAATATTTTATCACTGGCTGCCTTTACTTAGTCTACTGGAAGTTGCAGTCCATCCACTTCTCGAGGGCCTCATTTTGCTCATTCTTGATACAGAACGTTTTTTCAAGGGTTTTATTATAACATATCTTAAATAACTACTTTTATCAGCTTAGTTAAAAGAAGGTAGTGTTTTGTGCAATAATTGAACAGATATGTGACATAATGAAAGATGCTGTTATAGAAAGCATTGTTTGATTTGTTTTTTCTTCAGATTGTCCCATAAAGGATCAAATCTGTTAAATAAGAATGGAAACTGCTTTAAAACTCCCCTCTCTTTTACAAAAGTATTCTTTTTGTATGCTTTAAAGATAATATTTGAAAGTGTATTTTCCATTTTTTTCAAAATAAAAAAAGACCAGAAACACGTGTCTTAATGTCTGTGTAAAAGGACTGGCGCTGTCCAGCAACAATCATATGTATGTTTACTCAGAAGCAAGAACTGTTATTTTTCTGTGGGGTTTAATGCTTTATTACTGTCTTATGAAATTCCAGCATTAACAGTCCTTTTGTGTATGGTGACATCTCTTTCTACAATTCTTTCAGTGCCAACTTTCATGTTCTGTTTTATGAAATTATGAACTGTGTTACAACCCTATGGCTGAATTCAGTCTATACTTTCCTGTGCAAGTAATTGGACTGTTTCAAATTGACAGTTACAAAAATGTGAATTTACCTCGTTTGCTGAAGTCCCTGAACCTGAAAATAAAATTCAGAAAAGCATTACAACACCATTGAGAAGTGTTTGGGATATTCACAAGTATTTGGGATATTTCACTTGAGGGGCAAACTGTCTTTATATTTAGTAATCTGGAGGGAATGTATTAAAACAAGATGAATCCTTATGAGTCATGTCAGAACCCAAAACATTAACACCTCCACCCAAAATGAAATCAAAATTAATGTATCATTCTATCAATGATATAATTTTGGAAATTCAATATGATGTTGTTTTTCAGGCCCTTATAAATTTAGTTTTTTCCTGCTTGGCCATTAGATAAATCTGCCATTGATTACCAAACAAAGTAATGAACCTTATCAGAAGTTTTTTGTCTATGAGTCCTTTGAAGTTGTGTCTCCCATGTTAGAGGGCTGTCATAGACTTTTACCATTCCTAATGGCAAATCAGGGAAAGGAAACAGTTTTGGATCCACAGGTCCCAAGGCTTCCTTTGACCTGCACCATTATCTTCCTTTATGGCATCACTACCAGAATGCAACAGCAAAGCAACAATGGTGCAGTACAATGAGGCATCCAGCAAATGTCTTCCTCATAGGTTATGGAGAAAATGGTACAGTAGTAGAATGCTTGTCATTCAGTATTTTCACAGCCTCCCTTCCTAAGAGCATAAGATTGCTCCATAGACCCAATATATAAGACTTATATGTACTTTTAAATTATGATCCTGCAACGTGGATCTGAACTGATGGTCAGCATGGTTGGATCTTATAATAAAGAAAACTCAGTGTTAGACAAATTTTTACCAGCATTGAGTAACCAAAAAATCTTATCAATGCCACCTTCAAACAATTCAGGTAATAGAACTGGTTATACATTTAGGAATAACTAGCAGTCCCCTGCCACGCGTTGCTGTGGCCCAGTCTTGTGATCTGGAAAATAAAGTAATGAGAAAGTGTTGGTTTCTAATATATGTAATATATTATATGTCTTTATGCTTGTGGGTAGACAGTATTTCTTGCTGTTTCTTTGCCAGTATTGATGTGGAGATTGTCTGGTTTGGCTACTCTGGAACATGCAACATATCATTGTCCTTCTTTAGGGGTCCCTTTAAAATCTTTGATACTGAATCTGTCATATACATATGTGTGTGTGTGTGAATGGCTGGATGGCCCTTTGTCAGGAGGGCTTTGATTATGTTTTCTTGCCCTGGTGAAGGGAGTTGGACTGGATGGCCTTAAGGCAACATTTCTCAATCTGGGAAGTCAAGACCCTGGGGAGGGTGTCACCAGGGGGTGTCAGAAGGGTCACCAAAGACCACCAGAAAACACAATATTTTCTGTATTCTCGAAGGCTTTCATGGCCGGAATCACTGGGTTGTTGTAGGTTTTTCCGGGCTATATGGCCATGTTCTGGAGGCAATTTTTCTCCTGATGTTTCGCCTGCATCTATCGCAAGCATCCTCAGAGCTAGTGAGGTAGTGAGGACCTCACTACCTCTGAGGATGCTTGCCATAGATGCAGGCGAAACGTCAGGAGAAAAATTGCCTCCAGAACATGGCCATATAGCCCGGAAAAATCTACAACAACCCACAATATTTTCTGTTGGTCATGGGGATTCTGTGTGGGATGTTTGGCCCAATTCCATCATTGGTGGAGTGCGGAATGCAACTACAACTCCCAAATGTCAAGGTCTATTTCTCCCCAACTCCATCTGTGTTTATATTTGGGCATATTAAGTATTCCTGTCAAGTTTGATCCAGATCCATAATTGTTTGAGTCCACAGTGTTCTCTGGATGGAGGTGAACTACAATTCCAAAATTCCACCAAACTCTTTCAGTATTTTCTGTTGGTCATGGGAGTTCTGTGTGCCAAGTTTGGTTCAATTCCATTGTTGGTGAAGTTCAGAATGCTCTTTGATTATCGGTGAACTATAAATCCCAGAAACTATAACTCCCAAATGACAAAATCATATTTTTTGAGTGATGGTCACTCCTTGTATTGTGAGACGTTTTGTTGCCAAATTTGGTGTGATTTCATTAATTGGTTCTTTTGTTTTTAAGGTACTCATTATGCACAGAGCATTTTTATATATATACACAAGCTGTACCCTGGCCACGCATTGCTGTGGCTCTCAGAAAACAGAGGGATTCCAGACATGAAATAATCTGGGCTAGGTAACACCTCTCCCCAAAGGTTTCCCACAGGCAGGAAGAAGCCAGGCTGTTATGCTGCAAGGCTTTTCAAAGGTAATCAAGGTGGGCAATTGCAACATGCACACCTGGCTCAAGTTGAAAAGAGTTCTTTTTTCCACCCTGGACCTTTCACATATCTTTAAAGCAAAAAGACATTCAGTTGCTGTGAGCTTTTCGGGCTGTATGGCCATGTTCCTGTAGCATTCTCTCCTGATGTTTCTCCTGCATCTGTGGCAAGCATCCCCCAAGGTTTGTTCAGAGGTCTGTTGGAAATGAGGCAAGTGAAGTATACCTATCTATCTATCTATCTATCTATCTATCTATCTATCTATCTATCTATCTGTGAATAATGTCCAGGTTGGGAGAAAGACTTTGCAAAACTAAAACTCCTGTGATTCCATAGCACTCAGCCATGACAGCTATAGGGCTGTCAAACTGCATTAATTGTGCAATGTAAATGCACCCTCCAAAATAGGCTTGACAGAAACAAAGGAATAAATAGGCAGTAGAAAAAGATAATTTCTCTGGCTGATAAATGTGAGGAGAAAGCCTGCTCACAACGGGAGGTTTCTCACCTTCCTCAGAAGCGTTAGCATCCATCCAGCCACAAAACTGTCTTTTAATACTAACTCCCCTGTTGTCCAGTTCAAAACTGATAATATTTTCAAACTATAGATGGTTGCAACTGTGGAAATGACTGTCCAGAGGCTGAAGCCCCTTTTACACAGCCATATAAAATCCAGATTATCTGCTTTGAACTGGATTATATGGCAGTGTAAACTCATATAATCCAGTTCAAAGAAAATAATGTGGATTGTCTGCTTTGATAATCTGGATTATATGGCAGTGTGGAAAGGGGCTTGAGATGAAGCCTGGAAAAAGTTGGGGAGTCTTGGGGCCCTTCTATACTGCCATATATTCCAGTATATTAAGGCAGATAATCCGTATTATCTACTTTGAACTGGATTATCTGAGTCCACACTGCCATATAATCCTGTTCACAGGTATTAATGTGGATTTTATACAGTTGTGTAGAAGGGGGCTTGGTTTGGCCTGAGTCCCCTCCTACACTGCATATAATCCAGATTATCAAAGCAGATAATCCACATTCTCTGCTTTGAACTGGATTATATGAATCTACACAGCCATATAATCCAGTTCAAAGCAGATCACCTGGAATGTATATGGCAGTGTAGAAGGGGCCGTAGACTATCTGGTTTGATGATCTGGATTATATGGCAGTGTAGGAGGACCCAAAAGCAATCACACAACACCTGGATCTACACTATTCTACATCCCAGGGTCTGAACCCAGATTCGGACTGGATTATATGAGGGCCCTTCCACACAGCCATATAACCCGGAATATCAAGGCAGATAATCCACAATATCTGCCTTGAACTGGGTTATCAGAGTCCCCACTGCCATACAATCCAGTTTAATGTTGATTTTATAGAACTGTGTGAAAGGGACCTGAATCGACTCTGCCAGAGAATCTGGGATTAGTTCTACAGTGTAGATGCATGCAAATACATGGGCTTGTTTTTCCCCAGAAATGCCCTTCCAGTCACTTTGGGCCCTTCCACACAGCCATACACTGTAACCCAAAATATAAAGGCAATAAATACCACAATGTCTATTTTGAACTGTGTTATCTGATTCCACACTGCCATGCATTCCAGTTCAAAGCAGATAACGTGGGATTTCATTCAGCCATGTGGAAGGGGCCTAAGGGTGCATCTACACTGCAGGATTAATGCAGTTTGACATCACTTCAACTGACACACAGCAATGTCATTCAATCCTGGGATGTGTAGCTTGGCACCAGAGAAGGCAGAACTATGAATCCCAGGTTTGAATGACATTGCTGCATGGCAGTTGGAGTGGTATCAAAATGCAGTAATCCTGCAATGTAGATGCACCCTTAGCCTACTAATAGTATAGCAGGGAGCCTGGGCAGTCACTGAGCCTTGCCCTTCCACTGCCTCCTTCCTGTTCTAAGGGGAGGGTTGCAATAGCGCCCCCTAATGTCCTTCTGCTTCTCCGTGGGGCCAAGCCTAGCCCCTTTGGAGAAAGAGGCCCTTTCTGGGTGGGGAAACACAACTTCCTGAAGGCCCTGCGCCTGGCCTTGTTCAGCCTATTGCGCTAAGAGCTGGCAGGATGGTGGCAAGCTTGTAAAGGATGCACTGGAAGGGAGTCAGTCCTGTCAGGGAGGGAAGTTGCCAGGCCGGCGAAGGCATTGGCTGCCATTTGTTGAAGTAGTTGTTCTGTGTATGCCTGTCTACCTCAGGGAGGGAGGAAACTTGGGGCTTCATGGCGAAGGGGGTAGAAGTGTTCATGAGGGGATGTATCAGTTCTTAGCTATTCAGGGCTGTTTATTCTGCATTTAAAGAGCGTTTTGTCATACCTTCCTGTGGCTTTTATGTGTCTTTTCCTCTCCTTCCCTTACAGTTTGGCACCACTTCAATTGCCACAGCTCAATGCTATTGAAGCCTGGGGTGCCCTCGGCAGTTTATTCCTCTCATGTAGGAGGGGGGCGGCGCTTAGGGAGTATTTGGAGTGCATGCTCTGTATTGTGTTTTATCTATTTTGGATCATTAGGTCCTTGTTGCTTTGTGTTTATGTTTTTTTTTGTTAGTGATGGTCACTCCTTGGGTTGTGAGGAGTTCTGTGGCCAAATTCGTTGTGATTTCGTTCAGTGTTTTTTTTTTGTTTTTAAGCTACTCATTACGCACAGAGCATTTTTATATACAGGGTGAGGCAGCATAACTTCCTTTTTTAAAATGTGCACCATTCAGTTGGTTGAAGACACAGCAGAGCACTAGTGGTCTCATTCGAGAGGCGGGAGTATAAAGTTTTGTCCTGACACAGTTCAGTCGCCATCATTCGTTGGAACAGTGAGGAGCATGCTTTTGCCGTTGAGGCCTACTTTTTGAGCCGATTTGGAGTGGCCGGCCCGCTCTCCAGATTTGGCCCCTTGTGATTTTTTTCTATGGGGTTTTTTGAAATCCCGTGTTTATGTGAACTGTCCAAGAACCCTACAAGATTTGAAGACCAACATCCAGGAAGAAATTGCCAACATAACACCTGCTTCTCTCACAACAGGAGCGGTTGCTCCTGACACGACAAAAAACAAAAACAAAAAACGAACCTGCTATGCTGGCAAGAGTCATGACAAATGCCAGAAATCGGTTTACTCAATGTATGGAGAATGGGGGACGTCACCTACCTAATTTAATCTTCAAAACTACGTAAAACAAAACTTTGGGTATGTGCCTACATTATAAAAAATAAAAAAATAAATTCTGATTCATACAATGGGTTTTATTAAGTTTTGAAAAAAGGAAGTTATGCTGCCTCACCCTGTAAATATATAATTTTTTGTTGTGTCAGGAGCGACTTGAGAAACTGCAAGTCGCTTCTGGTGTGAGAGAATTGGCCGTCTGCAAGGACGTTTCCCCGGGGGAAGCCCAGATGATTTGATGTTTTTTATCATCCTTGTGGGAGGCTTCTCTCATGTCCCCAAAAGAGGAGCTGGACCTGATAAAGGGAGCTCATCCGCCTCTCCCCGGATTCGAACCTGCTCCCCGGATTCGAACCTTCTGCACAGGGGTTTAACCCACTGCACCACTGGGGGCTCTCTATATATATTATTATCTCAATCAACTAAGGTAAAAGAATAGAAAGCTATCACAGTTTTCATTCTGCTGTGCAGGAAAAAAATGAAATTTATAATATGTCCCTAATGTGTGGAGCCTTGAAGGTGGCAGAGCAGTGCAAAGAAGTCTTACCTAGAAAGAAACAACAGCTCACCAGGGAAAGGATCACAGCGATAGTAGTTATCTTCATGGTTAAGGAAGGCAGCCTTCTCTCTGGATTCAGCTGGGGCTTTGCTCTTCTCTGTCCGATAGGTTTTTGACACATCCGAGAGCTTATTTATAATATTATATCTGCAAATGCCATCTCATTTTTTACTGTTATCACAAGGATTTCTGATGATCCGCATTCTTAAACAATTTTATTGGTGGCATAGGTTAAGCAAGAGGAATGCTACTTTTCTTCATTTCCTCTCAGATAATTGACAAATTATGTTTGTGTTTGCATGTGGTATTTGTGGGTGAGGGGAGACATCCTACCAAAGAGTGACAAAGGGGGAGGAAGTTATTCCCCCCCCCCCCCATATCCCATTCCACATCCCTTGGAAATTTGGAGAGGCAGGGGGTAAACTAGGACAGTGTGAAGGTGGAAGTGCTGGCTCCAGAAGCAGAGGAAAATGCACGTATGTTTGCTCTCCCAGTGCTTTCCTGCCATCAGAACTGGAAGGCAGATTCAGAGATCAGGATCCAGCCTGGGCTAGATGGAGTTACACTCCTCCTGAAAATTCAGGTCCACAATTTGGGGATTCTCCTTGACTCAGTGTTGAACCTGGAGACTCAGATTTCACACTTAAAAGTATTGCATCAGCTGATCACAGCTGATCACATGTGGCATGTATGGCCACACTGGTACATGCCTTAGGACCTCATCGTATACAGGGATAGAAGCGTTTTCTCCTTGCTTCTGCTGCCAACACCGAGTGTCCTAGAGCCCATCATATGACACAGGGCTGCTTCTGGCGGGACTCTGTAGGACTCCATATAAGCAGCATTGCTGCAGTGGAGACCAGAGAAGTTGGGTGTATACAGAGTAGAAAGCCAGAGGAGCTGAAGAGGAAGTGGAGGAACCACAGGGAAACACTGTGGGAAGGGAGACTATGGGCCTCAAAGGGATGTAACAGACCTTGACTAATCATCCCGCTGCCTCATGATTGTCCCCCGATTGCCCTCGCTGTCCCCAGCTTTACCCCTACCATCTGATACATTACATTTAAAATCAAAGAAAAATTTCAATCACAAGATTCAAATGCCAGCCTAAATAAATAAGTTTTACAAGCTCTACGAAAAGATAGTAAGTATCGGAGAGCTCTGTGAATATGAATGAGGCATCTGCTTGTCCTTGTTTAATGGATTCTTTTCAGCTTGTTCGGAACAAGGACGTAGACAACATCTTGGGAGAAAAGAGGCCAACCACTTGTTCTCTGGACCCTTGCCTGTCCTGGCTTATAAAATCAGCTGGGGGAGGGGCTGGCCGAGTGGGTGAAGGTGCTGATGAATGCCTCCCTGACCCAAGTCATAATACCAATTAGATTCAAGGAGACAGTAGTAAGACCTCTGTTAAAGAAACCAGTACTGGATCCCACTCAATTGAACAACTGCAGGCCAGTATCAAATCTTCCCGTTCTGGGCAACGTTCCGGAGAAGGTGGTGGCCTCGCAACTCCAGAGTTTCTTGGAAGACATTGATTTTCTGGATCCATTTCAAACTGGTTTCAGGCCTGGTTTCAGAACTGAAACTGCATTGGTGACCTTGGTGGATGATTTACAAAGAGAGCTAGACAGAGGGAGTGTGTCCCTGTTGGTTCTCCTGGACCTCTCAGTGGCTTTTGATACCATCGACCATGGTAACCTTCTGGGCCGTCTCTCTGGGATTGGGCTTGGAGGCACTGTTTCACAGTGGCTTTGGTCCTTCCTGGAAGGGCGGATCCAGATGGTGGAGCTGGCGGACTCCTATTTGTCTTCCTGGCCAGTGGCCTCTGGGGTCCCTCAGGTTCAATTTTGTCCCCCATGCTGTTTAATATTTACATGAAACCGCTGGGAAAGATCATCTGGAGTTTTGGAGTTTGATGTCAAATTTATGTGGATGACATCCAACTCTATTACTCCTTTTCACTTAATTCCAAGGATGCCGTTCTGGTCCTGAACTGGTGCCTGTCATCGGTAATGGACTGGATGAGGGCCAATAAGCTGAAACTAAATCCAGACAAGACAGAGGTACTCCTGGTCAGTCATAAGGCAGATCAGGGTGTGGGACTGCTTTAACTAAGGATAAATAAGTCTGAATATGTTTTAAATAAATGGTTTTAGTGTAAATGAATGTGTAATTAAAACAAGAGGGGAAACTTATAGCTCACAGGTTACCCTAGGCCTATGGGGTGCCTATTTGGCTTATCCGGCTCCTCTTTGCCTCCATCAGCTGTTGGGGTTCTTGGTGCAAACATCCAAATGTTTTGAGGAAATAAATATTTTTGGCACACCTTTATTACCTGCACTTTTGTGGTAAAATCTGCAATCTAAGATGCAAAAGGCAGTGCCTATTCACTAGTTCTGATTTGTGTACTGCATTCATGCTGGCAAAAATAGGATAGACTCAATAAGCTTTAATTCATTTTATTGAGGCAAGATAACATATTTGGAGCCAAGGAATTTGGACACACAAATCTTTATGAAGAACTCTTTATGAAGAACTCTTTATTATTTCCACACGATCTTCTTTATGAAGAATACTTCCTCTCCACAGGGGCCACTATTCTGGCCTTCTGCAAATGTTCATAAGAAATTAAAACAAAGAATTAAAACACTTCCAAAGGCAATTATTTTCAAAATTTGGAGGATACACTGAGTACTGCACAAAAAGTGGATGTACTCAAACAGAATGTCACTATTCTATGGGACACCAAAAGAAAATTGCTGGAGAAAAATAACTCCTCAATGTTCATCAGAAATTAATATTGTGATAAGAAATTCTACATGACTTTCAGATATTGGATGCAGTGAGACTTGCATCTGAGCAAACATGATTGGGTTTGTATTGGTGCTGATCAATGGTTCTATCTTTCATAGAAAACAACTTTCCTAGGCATATTGTTAGTACCAGAATGAATATAAGTAGATTTGCAGAATATCTTCCCACGTGGAACTATTTCAGGAAAGAATTACCAACCTGTAAAAAATAGGACATACCTTTGATATGCAGGGTCCTTCCCTTTTTATGCCAATCAGTTTTCCAGATGACCTGAAATAGCAGAGTGGTTTGTATGAAAGGTATTATGAAAATGTATTCTGCCTTATAGGTCTCCTGTGGCCATAGCAAGTTACATGCAGGAATTGCTGGAGCACTTTATTTCAATGTTTTGTTTATTTTCACCTTTTTGCCATATGATCACTATTAAAATATACAGTTCACTGTTGAAAATGTAATAAGCGTGAAATAAGTGACTATGGGAAAGCTGCATGCAAATGCCAGATAACAAAGTATAACCAACAAGAGCCATCAGGAAGAGAAAAGGTTGCAAAAAACAAACAAACAAAAAAACAAAACAGTTTTTATTTGGTTGCAAAATGCTGACAAGACCAAGTATCTATAAAGTATGCTTTAGAACAGGGATAGGGATAATGTGATCTTCCAGATATTGTTGGACCAAAACTCCCAGCGGTTTCAGAAGTTCAGCAACTTTTGAAGGACTACATGAGTCCTTCCCGTACTGTAGAGGTCATATGGAGTGTTGAACAGTTTTCTGTCAGCTTGTGAGCCAGAATCTGATGAGGCTGAGAACAAAAACCACAGCATTCCACCCCTTTCCTTCTCTCTTACTGTAGAAAAGGTGGACTCTATATCCCACTGCAGAGACATGTCAGATCCAGATCATAGGAGATAGTGCAAGGGACTGGAAGGAACTGAGTATAAAATGGACCAAGAGAAGTAATGGATACTTGAAAATTCAGTGAAGCAACAGCATTTACTGAGCAGTACTGGGGAACTTAGTAGCTCCCTTCAGATATGAAGCATCCCCAACCCATTGGCTGTGCTATCTCAGGGCCTGGCCATACATGCTGCAGGAATCACTGTGGGTCACCACAGAACATGATGATTCTGGCAGTGCCCATCCAGGGGCATGGGTACCTATCACTTCTTGCCCTGCACCATCGCGGCTTCTCCCTTACCTCACCACATGGGAGGGAAAATCACTGGCCAGCTTGCCTCATTGAGGGCAATGCAAAATGTTGCTGTGGGAGACTTTTTGGGTGGTGACTTCAGTTCTGTAGCAGTTTTACCCTAGAGTCACCCTGGAAGTACTTCTCCAGTGTGTGGTGGGAGCCTGTGGTCTCAGTGACAAAGCTGTTGCTGAACCGGAATTGCTACTGAAATTTGCTTTGTGTGAAGAGGTCATTAAACTATCCAAAAGTAATAGAAATGCCACTTATCACAATGAGAAATTTCCCAATCATAGGACCCTTCAGTCTCTTTTCAAGCCTGAAGAGGCACTGAGCTCATCACATGAGTTAAACTACTGGCAGTCATGCATCACCCTCTGTGGTTGAAAAGAGGCAGAAGTGTCATGAAAGGAGGGAACTCTGGTATTCAGCCTCATCAGATTGAGAAATTTCCTCCTTGTAGGACACTTCAGCCTCTTTTCAAGCATGGAGAGGCTCTGAGTTTATCACATTTCCTGGGGTTGAAAAGAAGCAGAAATGTCCGGAAAGGAGGGAATTCTGAACATGGGCCAGCAATCGTGTTCAGAGTTCCTACCTCTTAACTCCTTACCTTTCAGTTATGGTTCCAACTGCAAAACAGGCGAGGTGGGAACCATCAAAGTTTCCCATCCTAGTTCATTCCCCAACTGTCAGCAGTCACTGGAGCACTGTCTCTTGTATCATATGGGGTATGGGCAGAACAATATTATCCCAAAGAAAAGATAGTTTTAACCTGGAGCACTGTCTCATGTTTCCTATGGGGTTTGTGCCGAACAATATTATCCCACAGAAAGACATGGTTTTAACCTGGAGCACTGTCTCTTGTATCATATGGGATTTGTTGCAGAACAATATTATCCCATGGAAATAAGTGATTTTAAGCTGGTGCCAGTCTCCTTTAATGTAAGGAGCTTTGGGAAGAGCATGGGATCTCTTGGCTTTTGGATATTATTGTTTCTTCTGATTTTTTTAAAAAAGTAATACTAACTGTGATAATGTAAGATGAATATATTGCCAGCTCTTAGGTTTCCATGTGTGAGTGTGATGGGGAGGCAGAACTCAAAATGTTATTGGTGATGCTATAAGAGGGACAATTCCCTACACTAAAAGGACAGTCACCTGTGCTTCCCTCTATCAATGTGATGAGGTCTATGGATGTTAACCTATTACTGACTAATGATATCCATCATGAATGTCTTATTTTGCAACTAACTTCAGGCCTGAGGACTTCCTAAGCAAAATTTTCCCTGAGAAATCCCTATCCCCTCTCAATGGGTCCTGGTGAGCCTAGTGCGAGAAATGACAATATTCCACAGCCTGGAGTGGAGAGATCAAGCCAGTGTTCATTTCCGCGGTGCTACAGAGTGATGTTGCTGGAGGGAATTGGAATGGCTAGATCAAACTGCCTGCATGAATTAGAATACCAAACTAGAATGCATCTTTTAAGGGAGTGAGCTCAAGGTAGGCAATAGATATAATGTCAGCCTGACCAAAATAATGAGACCTTTTCTTGTGCCCAAGGATGCTAAGCATTTCACTTCCCATGTGACTGGCCTAGATCAGGAAAAAAACAGACTTTATGGGACCAGAGGAGAATAACAACTGCCCTTCCCTTTTTAGTATGTTTTCAGTAAAGAAGCACAGTTCCATGCAACAGAACTATAATGAGTAGCTGTTGTCTTCACATAGCCCATTTTTTATGTTAAACTTACCAAATTTCTGCACACAAGAGGCATGTGTTGGAATAAGTGTTGCCATCAGTGCCACACACAGGTGCATGTATTTGGGGACAGGGTGTCTTTTTGCCCTTTGGCGGTTCTGGAAACTCACTGCAGTCAACCTATAAATACATTGTAGACAATGTAAATAAATGTGATTTAATGGACATTATTTTTGAGCAAGTTTTGTTAACTGGCTGCATCAAGCTGGGAACCACAAGTACTTGGAGAGGATAACTACAAGTCCCTTGCCTGTCCTGCTTTCACATCACACCCTTCACCGGACTTCAAAAAAGATAAATAAATGGGTCCTAGAATGAGCTCTCCCTAAAAGCTAAGATGATGAAACCGAGGCTGCAGTATTTTGGCCATGTCATAAGGAGGAGGGACTCACTAGAAAGGTCAGTAATTCTTGATATAGTGGAGCGCAATAGGAAAAGAAGAAGACCCCCTTCCAGATAGTTGTACCCAATCAGAGAAGTCAGGGCCCTGAGCCTTCAGGTCCCGAGCATTGAGGACAGGGTGATTTGGAAACTTCATTTGTTGACTTGTTGACTTGAAGACAATTAATAGAAAGAAACCATAAACGCATTGAGACCTACATAATCTTGGGAGTTATTCCAGAGTGAGAGCATAGGAAAGCATTTTCTATTTGTATTGCTCTCCTCCCACTAGATGGCAAATAATTGGCAGGGGACAATCAACACAGAAGACGAATAATTGTTTAATTGTTGATTTCAAATTTAAAAAGAAGGATACTTACACATTCTCCTTTGTGGGCTAAGTCTATTTTGGTTCCACCTCTAGAAAAAGAAATCTAGGTTAATTAAGAAACTGGCCAAAAGTGTGAGGCATTTAGAAACAAAGCATATAATACTGATGAAGTGCAATGTGACAATACACGATCTTGCACATTTATTTTCAAAGGTAAGTCCCTAGATGTTATGTGTGGTTTGCTCCCAGGTAAATATGCAAAGCATAGCATATTAAAACTTGCAACATTATTTCTTTCCTCTACAACAGAGATGAGCATGTGGTGGACCTGCTGTATTATTGGATCGCAACTCTTATCATCCCAATAATTAACTTTTTTGCTACAGCTGCTGGAAGTTGCATACCAAGAATCCACATGTCTTTGTGTGATATGTGATGTTATTTTATGTGATGTGTTTAATAACGTTTTATGTTTTATTAGGGGAGGGTCAATTTTGATGTTTTATACTGGTTTTTTAATCAATTGCATTGTATTGTCGCCAACACTATGAACCTCCCTGAGTCCCCTTCAGGGATGATGCAAATACTGCTAAATCAATCAATAAATAAAACCTCTCAGCTGCTATTTTAAGAACAAATTCAGAAGAACGTATTCAAGCTTCTCTTTTATTTTTGTTCTTCCAATTGTTTGATAGTTTTGTAGATGAGGCTTTTGTCCTGCCTTAATTGGGGCTCTCCAGATGGCATTATCTTTAGTTTTTAATTGTGTTACTCTCTTCTATGTTGAGTTTTTAGGTAGAAAATAAAACCTGTCAACATGGAAGGAAAAAAAAGCTGCAGAATATTTTCTGATTGCTTGGGCAAACCCTCAGTCTTAAGTCATTCATCGTGATCCTCATTATTTATTTATTAAGGTCATTTATTAAGTTGGCGAAATTTCATGATCTGGTCCCAAGTGTCCAGTTTTCATGTACCATCTTGAAGGAGGAGACAAGAGTGCAAAACCTCCAGTTTTGATGGGTTCAGCCCAAGCAGGAAGAATACTCACTTTCTTACATTCTGGAGGGGTTCATTGATTTGATGAGAATGGGATCACAAGACCAGATAGCAAAAGCTGAGTTAAAGAAGGGTAATTTTATTGATTTAATTAAATTGTAACAAGCCTGGACCAAGCAAGAGGGGGAACTTACTCAATGTGGGTTTAACTGTGGCCCAATGTCAACCCTTGCCTACCCTTTCAACCTTCCCTTCAGCAAAGCATCTAACCCAAGGCACAGTCAAAATGTGTTGCTGAAATCTGTTGTTGTTTATTAGTTCAGTCACTTCTGACTATTCAAGACCTCATGGACCAGCCCACACCAGAGCTCCCTGTTGGCCGTCACCGCCCCCATCTCCTTCAGAGTCAAACCAGTCACTTCAAGGATAACATCCATCCATCTTGCCCTTGGTCAGACTCTCTTCCTTTTTCCTTCCATTTTCCCCAGCATCTTTGTCTTCTCTAAGCTTTTCTGTCTTCTCAATATGTGGCCAAAGTACTTCATCTTTGCCTCTAATATTCTTCCCTCCAATAAGCATTCGGGCTTTATTTCCTGAAGTATGGACTGGTTGGATCTTCTTGCGGTCCAAGGAACTCTCAGACTTTTCCTCCAACAGCACAGTTCAAAAGCATCTATCTTCCTTTGCTCAGCCTTCTTTATGGTACAGCTCTCACATCCGTAAGTTACTACGGGGAATACCATTGCTTTAACTATGCTATATTTTTCCTTAGTTAATTTTGTCCTGTCTTCAGTTGTAGTGCCAAGTATGAGAGCTTATTAAGAGAAAACTTGATGACATTGCTGTGGTTGGCATTTCATGTATAACCCTTAAGATACACTTCACTTCACTTCACTTTATTTCTTAATTAGTCGCTCTCCACCAAGGTGCTCCGAGCTACTTACAGTCTAAAATAGCATTTACACAATATAAAAACATTCAACATAAAAACATTCAACAGTGACTATTTGGCAAATTGTATCTGATTACTTAAATGCACAACCAAACAGCCAAGTCTTGAGTGCCTTTACAAAAGGTCGCAACTCTGACATTGCTCTAATATATGGAGGCAATGAGTTCCACAGAATTGGAGCATAGGTCGAAAAAGCTCTATGCCTTGTAGCTTCCAGGTGTACCTCCCTAGGGCCCGGTATATATAGGAGATTTTCCTGGGTGAATCGAGGAGACCACTGATGGAGAAAAGGAATGAGGCAGTCCCTAAGATATAAAGGTCCTTGGCCATTTTGAGCTCTAAATGTCAGGATCACGTGCTAATGATCTCAAGGCTGGCTTTCTGCAATATGCTATATATTCAGCTGCCTTTGTAGCCAGTTTGGAAACTCCAAATAGTTCAAAATAAGGTAGCCAGATTGATTACACAAACATCTAGAAGTGAGCATATTACACCTATACTAAAGTCACACCACTGGGTCTCTGGTCTAGAACCATCAGGACTTGCAACAAGCCTGATCTGGAATCCCTGCCATTTATCTCATTCTGTTTTTGTTTTTTTTAGTCTGCAATGCAATAATGTTTAGTTAGATGTATTGTCCTTGGGTAAATGTATTTTTTCTGATTTGTTCAGTGAGCACCCAAATATCCTCAATTTACTTATTGGATGTGATTGTGGCCTAAATCTACCTGTTATTCCTAACTGAAGAAGTTGTAATAAATCAGTGGAGCTTCCTTAATGTTAACTTACTGTATTTTATAAATGGATGAATGAGATGATTTTATACTGTTTTATTGTGATGGTTTTTAATTGTTTTACATTGTTTTAATGTTTAATGTTTTAATATTTTTATTTATTTATATTTTTTGTTGTTTATCTAATGTCAATTTGCTTTGATTTTTGTTGCTGTTGGCATCTAATGGTTGCAAGTTGTAAGCCACCCTCAGTCCCCCCTCAGGGGTTGAGAAGGTTGGGATATAAATGTCTGAAATAAAATAAATGTTTAGGTATTGATTGGTTTATTTGTGAGTTGATTTGGGTCTTATTCCAAGAAAAAGCAACATATAAAATAAATGAATACATGTGTGTGTGTACACACATACAGATCTGATCTATGTTAAATATTTAGAGTTTCCCATTGTACCTTTTGGAAATTTTGCATTGGTTAACAACTTTCATGATTGCACCAACTCATGCAAATGAGCTGTGCAAGTAAATACCAGGCTGTGGTGCACCTAGTTAGTAGCCAGCTGCATTAAATCACTATTGAGCAAGAAGTCATGAGATCGAAGCCAGCCCAGGTCGAAGTGAGTTCCCAACCATTAATAGTCTAGCTTGTAGCTGACCTACGTAGCCTGAAAGAGAGTTGCATCTGTCAAGTAGGAAATTTAGGTATTGCTTATGACACCATAAAAGCTTCCAGCAGCATGCATAAGAATGAGGAAGTACTCCATCAAGGACTCAGTGCCACAAGTGGACAGTGAAGCGGCAGTTCCCCCTGTGGCCGGAATCAAGCATACCCACATGAAGCTGGAAAGCTGTAATGTTAAATTGCCTCTGTGTCTGTCTATATATGTTGTATGTCTAACTGGCATTGAATGTTTGCCATATATATGTGCATGGTAGTCTGCCCTGAGTCCCCTGCCGGGTGAGAAGGGTGGAATATAAATACTGCAAATAAATACATAAATAAATAAATGGTACTCACAGGATTTCAGCACACAGTGAACATTCGTTGCCATAAGTCTTGCCATCAGTTCCACAGACTGGGTCACTTTGCAGAGTGCAGCTTATTGGAGCTTGTTGTTGTTGTTGTTGCTGCTGCTGCTCTGGTTTATACTTTTTACAATTAAGCTACCGAATAATGGCAATGAAAAAGATTAGAATGCATAGTACCACATTTCAGGAAAACTGTTTTTGTCCACAAGACAGAAAAGACCCCAATCTTTTCTTCATTAGTAAATATATTACTTTATCCTTGACTACATTTACTTAGTCTTCTAGGAGTTGTAGTCCACCCACTTCTCAAGGGCAACATTTTGCTCATTCTTGAAACAGAGTGTAATATGTTTTTTCAGGGGTAGCTTAAAGAACTCCTTGTATCACCTTCGTCAAATAAGGTGGTATTTCACAGATACATGACATAATGAAAGGTTGTGTTTTGGGAAGTACTGTTTCCTCTGTTTCTTCTTCAGGTTATCCCACGAGGGATCAAATCTGTTAAATAAGAATGGAAATAGCTATAAAGCTCCCCTCCCCTTAGAAATGATTCTTTTTGTGTGTGTGCTTTAAACATAATCTTTGAAAGTGTATTTTCTATTTTTTCAAAATAAAAAAGATCAGAAACATGTTTCTTAATGTCTGTGTAAAAGGACCGGAGCTGTTCAGCAGCAATCATATGTATGTCTACTCAGAAGAAAGATCTGTTATTTTTCTGTGGCGCGGAATGCTTTATTTCTGTCCTATGAAATTCCAGCATTAACAGGCCTTTTATGTATGGTGACATCTCTTTCTACAATTCTTTCAGTGCCAACTTTCATGTTCTGTTTTACGAATTTTTGAACCATGTTAAAATGCTATGGCTGAATTCAGTCTATACTTTCCTGTGCAAGCAATCGGATTGTTTCAAAATAACAGTTACAAAATATATGAATTTACCTTATGTGCTGAAGTCCGTGAACCTGAAAATAAAATTCAGAAAAGCATTACAACACCATTGAGAAGTGTTTGGGATATCTCACAAGTATTTGGGATATTTCACTTGAGGGGCAAACTGTCTTTATATTTAGTAATCTGGAGGGGATGTATTAAAACAAGATGAATCCTTCTTATGAGTCATGTCAGAACCAAAACATTAACACCACCACCCAAAATGAAATAAACATTCATGTATCATTCTATCAGTGATATAATTTTGAAAATTCAATAGGATGTTGTTTTTCAGGCCCTTATAAATTTAGTTTTGTCCTGCTTAGCCATTAGATAAATCTGCCATTGATTACCAAACAAAGTAATGATCCTTATCAGAAGTTTTTTTGTCTGTGAGTCCTTTGAAGTTGTCTCTTCCATGATAGAGGGCTGTCGTAGACTTTTACTATGCCTGATGGCAAATTAGGGAAAGGAAACAGCTTTGGTTCCACAGCTCTCAAGATTTCCTTTGACCTACATCATGATCTTCCATTATGGCATCAGCACCAGAGTGCAATAGCAAAATAAAAATAGTGCCGGAAGTTCCCATCAATACAACAGGGCATCCAGCAAAGGTCTTTCTTATAGATTATGGAGAAAATAGTCCAGTAGTGGAGATGCATGTCATTCAATTTTTTCACAGGATACTTTCCTAAGAGCATAAGATTGCTCCACAGACCCAATATATAAGACTTGTATGTATTTTAACATTATAACTCTGGAATGTGGATCTGAACTGATGGTCAGTATGGTTGAATATGAGTAAAGAAGTCTCAGTGTTGGACAAATTTTAACCAGCATTCAGTAACCAGAAATTCTTACCAATGTCAACTTCAAACAATTCTTATTTTGGATGTCTAATCAGGTAATAGGAATAGTTATACATTTAGAAATAATTTTTATAATCAACTAAAGTAAAAAAATAGAAAGCTATCACAGTTTTCATTCTGCTGTACAGAGAAAATGAAATTTACAATATGTCCGTAATATGTGGAGCCATGAAGGTTGCAGTGCAGTAGAAATACGTCTTACCTACAAAGAAACAACAGCCCACAAGGGAAAGGATCGCAGAGATGGTAGTTGTTTTCATGGTTAAGGAAGGCGGTTTTCTCTCTGGATTCAGCTGGGGCTTTGCTCTTCTCTCTCCGATAGGTTTTTGACACAATCGAGAGCATATAGCATTCTATCTACATATGCCATCTCATTTTTTACTGTTATCACAAGGATTTCTGATGACCCACATTCTTAAACAATTTTATTTGGGCCAGAGGTGAAGCAAGAGGAATGCTACTTTTCTTCGTTTTAGATATACTCTCAGGAAATTCGCAAAATGTGTGTGTGTGTGTTTGCATGTGGTGTTTGTCGGGGGAGGGGATACATCCTACCAGAGTGACTAAAGGGTCAGGAAGCTGTTTTTCCCTATATCCTAATCTGCATGGAAACTTGCAGTAAGGTGGAACAGTGTGAAGTTGGTAGTGCTGGCTCCAAGAGCAGAGGACAATGCATGTAATTTTACTTCCACCACCACTCTTCCACCACTTTCCTGGCATCAGAACAGGAAGGCAGATTTGGAGATCAGGATCCAGCCTGGGCTAAATGGCATTACACTCCCCTGAATATGCAGGTACACAGTTTGGGGATCCTCCTGGATTCAGCATTGAACCTGGAGACACAGGTTCCTGTGCTTGTCAGGAGTGCATTTGCACATTTAAAAATACTGCATCAACTTCTACCATTCTTTAAGATGGTGGGTATGGCCACACTGGTGAATGCCTTAGGACCTCATCATATGCAGGATTAGAAGCTTCTTTCCCCTACTTCTTTTTGCTGCCTGCATGGAGTCCCCTAGAGCCCATCACATGATGCAGGGCCGCTTCTGGTGGGACTCTGTAGGACTCCATTCCAGGAGCATTGCCGTAGTGGAACCCGTAGTTTCTCCCCATGTTATCCTCTGTAAATCTCATAGTCTTGTGCACACCAGCATTTTAAGCCACAAGTTAATCAATGTTAACTTAGTCAATGAAATATTTCCATTAGTTCTGACAGAAATGAATAACATCTATGACAATTTTAAAAACTTTCGTAGATGCCCACATTTCTAAAATAAAGTCTGGGCATATGATGTATATTGCACAGTTAAGTAAAACTGTATTTATATCTTGCCCTATTTTCCCCTGGGGACTCAGGGTGGCTTATAACATAAAATGAAAACATTCAATGTCATAAAATTCAATAATAAATTAAACAATACAACTAAGCAATATAAATCATTCAATCATGCAAACAATCATGTAGAGAAAAATAAAGCACATTATAGTGGAATTCGACAGGATATATGTTTGGAAAAGTCACTCTACTGCAAATGGTGGGAACATGTCACTGTGTCAGGTTGCTTCAACTAGTTGATGCTGGATCTTCCATTTTATTTATTTATTTATTTATTTATTTATTTATTTATTTATTTATTTACTTCATTTGTATACCGCATTTATCAGCCTGAGGCGGCGACTCAATGCGGTTTACAATAAAAATAAGCAACATTGAACAATATATAAGACGCACATACACAGACAACATATATAATCATCAACGCCTCGCTTAGAATCAGATCCCAATCTCATAGTCCTTTTTCAATCCTTGTTCCAAATACCGTCATTATTGAGTTGGTTGTCATCACATAGTTATCCGAATGCCTGCTCATAGAGCCACGTCTTAACCCTCCTCCGAAACACCAGTAACGAAGGGGCCTGCCTGATGTCAACTGGTAGCGCATTCCATAGCCGCGGGGCCACTACCGAGAAGGCCCTGTCTCTCGTCCCCGCCAACCGCACTTGTGACGCTGGCGGAACCGAGAGCAGGGCCTCCCCGGACGATCTTAACGTCCTAACCGGTTCATAGGTGGAGATGCGTTCGGAGAGGTAAGTGGGGCCGGAACCGTGTAGGGCTTTATAGGCTAAGGCCAGCACCTTGAATTGTGCCCGGTAGCAAATTGGCAGCCAGTGGAGCTGGCTCAACAGGGGGGTGGTGTGCTCCCTGAGAGCCGCTCCCGTTAGCAACCTGGCTGCCGAGCGCTGGACTATCTGAAGCTTCCGGGCAGTCTTCAAGGGCAACCCCACGTAGAGCGCGTTGCAGTAATCTATGCGGGATGTGACAAGAGTGTGGACTACCGACCACCCAAGATACGGGCGCAGCTGGCGCACAAGCCGAAGCTGTGCAAATGCTCCTCTGGAAACCGCCGAAACTTGGGGTTCCAAGCTTAGCGAAGAGTCCAGAGTCACACCCAAGCTGCGAACCTGCGTCTTCAGGGGGAGTGCGACCCCGTCCAACACAGGCTGTAACCCTATACCCTGTTCGGCCTTCCGACTGACCAGGAGTACCTCTGTCTTGTCTGGATTGAGTTTCAATTTGTTCGCCCTCATCCAGTCCGACACAGCGGCCAAGCACCGGTTCAGGACCTGGACAGCCCCCTTAGTAGTAGGTGGGAAGGAGTGATTTTGCAACAGCAGAATGTATAACATAAAAATTGAGTAACAAGGAAGTGTTTCTTCCCTTTTCTTCATTAAAAAATCCCATAAGGAAGTGTGAGAAGCACAGTGGGGTCCATAGCTGACATAACTGGCTCATTGCCAATGGTTATAAAATAATGCAACAAAGAGTCTGCATGGCTGCTTTTAGAGCATGGCCAGCATTATGTTCTACTCTGAAGATAACAGTTCTCCACCTGGATACATTTTATTTTTAAGGCCTATCCAGTCGAAAGGGTAACCCTGTAACAAAGAAGTCCAACTCATTTTGCTGCAATTATTGGAACAGTGGATGGAATCCCATACCTCCACCCAAGACAGGATGTATTTCATAGCTTTTCAAACATTTCATGCTGGTGACATGCTCTTTAGACATGCATCATGTCGTGAAAGAGTAATTGAGTTTTACTAGCATATTGGAGGTTTAACCAATGTTTTATATTTCTTTATTGTTTAATTTTGTTTACTTGTGTTTTGGCTTATCTTGTTTTGTTTTTCTATTGATTTGATGCATTGTTATTTGTTTATTTTCTTTCTTATGCATCTTTTGTGTTTATTGATATTGTGAGCTGCCCCAAGTCCTTTGGGGAGATGGGGCAGGGTACAAATAAATTTTATTCTTATTTTTATTCTTGTTATTAAAGACTAACCTCTTATAAGAGAAAATAACACCAGATATCTCGTGAAATATTTTCCTTTACATTTTAAAATATATGGTTTTTATGGTTTTATGATAATAACATACATTTTCAAAATTTTTGTCAATTATGGGTCACAATATGTAAATATGTGCAAGAATCTAAAAAATCATATAACTCTAATAAAGAAATACTAGTTAACATTTTAATGAGATGTATGAGGTTGATTGGATCGACACAGCATTTGATTTTTTTGTGGAATATTAAAGACATTCACATTTCATGATCAATAATTTTTAATCTTCCACATTTGTACACTGGTTTTAAAATTGTCATCGTTGAACAGGATACCTCATAAATATATGTAGTAGAAAACTGAAGAAGAATTTTAATGCTTTTTTACTTATGTTTGGATGCATTTTTGAAACACAGATCCAAAATCTGTCTAAGGTTCACATGGGGGGGGGGGAATTCACCCTGCGCCATACATCGCCTCTTATCGAGCTCACGGGGGAGAAGCATCGCCACTTGGCTTCCCTCCACACTCACCCTGTTCTTCTAATTGAGAACACAGGGAGTCTCCTGTGTTCTTGTTGCTCCCTATTATGACAATTTCACTACACTTGAGGGACAGAGCCCCACCAAAGGTAGAAGAATGACATTTGATGGGATCTGGCAGACTCCGTTCCTCAACCTTGGGTGAAAGTATTGTACAACAGGTAAATTTACCCATGTGATGAATTTGTAAGTCCCCCTCTTCAAACAGTATTAACAGACTTTGATATGTTTTTTATTTCAGCTAATGCTTCTTCACTAAGCAAAAAGTTCTTTGTTGCAGTTGAAAGAAATGAATTTGTGATCCCACTTCTTGGATTTCAACATTTGGGAAGTAGTGATGAACTTTCTCTTCAAACAATGTTAACTGGTCAACAATTAGCAAGCTGATATCACATTTTATCACACTCAGCAATTTTGGCAAACATTTTTTAAAAAATCATATAAGGAAGTCTGAAAAACACAGTGGGGTCCATGGCTGGCATAACTGGCTCATTGGCAATGGTTGTAAACTAATGCAAGACTCTACATCAGGGGTCCTCAAACTTCTTAAACAGAGGGCCAGATCCCAGTCCCTCAAATGCTTGGAAGGCCGGATTATAATTTGAAAAAAAATAATGAATTCCTATGCACACTGCACATATCTTATCTGTAGTGCAAAAAACACTTAAAAACAATACAAAAATTAAAATAAAGAACAATTTTAACAAATATAGACTTATTAGTATTTCAATGGGAAGTGTGGAGCCCCCAGAGGCGCAGTGTGCTGGCAGGACTGAAGACTGACAGGTCGCAGGTTCGAATCCAGGGTGAGGCAGATGAGCTCCCGCTATCAGCTCCACCTCCTCATGCGGGGACACGAGAGAAGCCTCCTACAAGGATGAGAAAAAACATCAATTCATCCGGGCATCCCCTGGGCAATGTCCTTGCAGATGGCCACTTCTCTCACACCAGAAGCGACTTGTAGTTTTTCAAGTGACACAACAACAAAAAAAGAGAGATAGGATTGTTGTTGCTGTTATTGCTGTGTATTTTCAAGTCATTTCAGACTTAGGTTGACCCTGAGCGAGGGCCGGGTAAATTACCTTGGAGGGCCGTATTCGGCACCCGGGCCTTAGTTTGAGGATTTACATATAGCAAGGCTGGCATTATGTTCTACTGAAAAGGACAGTTCTCCACCTGGAGACATTTTCTTTCTCTCTTTCTTTCTTTCTTTCTTTCTTTCTTTCTTTCTTTCTTTCTTTCTTTAAGTTTATTTCTGAAAATTCTGCAAAATGACAATGGATTCTAACCTTGATGGGTGTACATGTGTTGTGTGATACATTCCACTTTCATTCAACGGACTTTTTACATAAGTCTTCATATATACATCCTTTTAAAAATTAAAAACCCACCCACATTGCCCACCCCCTCATCCATCCCTCCAACCACATATTTTCTCTATACTATTTTCTTTAACCATGCACTCATTCTTTAAAATTTCTGTGTGAAGATTGTGTTGGCTTCACCATTTTAATGCATTCCATATATGTTATCCATTTGTTCTTTATTTTTTATTATATCTTTTTGCATATCATCCTGCATAACATTTTTTATAATTTGTAATTGTACATGACCATATAGTATGGAATACTATGGTATTCCAATTTTCCATTGTCCATTTTTTCATCTTTCCACTCTTATACTATTATTGCTTGTCCTTTCGGATCATACTATAGAATACTTCTTGTTCTTTTATATTGATTCTGGTATTTCCTAGTACTCCCATGAATAAAATATTTACATTTACTTGTAGTGGCAGTTTAATTTTTTTTCAATTGTCTTTTCCCAGAAGGGGATTACCTTAGGCATTACCACAACATATGGGAATAACATTCCTTATTTTTTCCACGGTGCTAACATATTGGATTTAATCATTTTGTCATGTATGATAATTTTCTTCCTAATTCTTTATACTTCTCCATTTTAATTTTCTTCATCCTCTTCATTATATTCTGGATTGTTTGATTGTGAGTGGGCCTTCTTTCTACCATTGGTTTTGTATTGTTCTCACCATGTATCTGTTATCCTTAATCATCAATTTATATATTTTTCCTGTCCAAAGAAGGAGCCTCCACCATACTCCGGGGCAGAGAGTTCCACTGCTGAACGGCTCTCACAGTCAGGAAGTTCTTCCTAATGTTCAGATGGAATCTCCTTTCTTGTAGATTGAAGCCATTGTTCCGCATCCTAGTCTCCAGGGCAGCAGAAAACAAGTTTGCTCCCTCCTCCCTCTCACATATTTATACATGGCTATCATGTTTCCTTTCAGCCTTCTCTTCTTCAGGCTAAACATGCCCATCTCCTTAAGCTGCTCCTCATAGGGCTTGTTCTCCAGACCCCTGATCATTTTAATCGCCCTCCTCTGGACGCATTCCAGCTTGTCGATATCTCTCTTGAATTGTGGTGCCCAGAATTGGACACAATATTCCAGGTGTGGTCTAACCAAGGCAGAATAGAGGGGTAGCATGACTTCCCTAGATCTAGACACTATGCTCCTATTGATGCAGGCCAAAATCCCATTGGCTTTTCTTGCCGCCAGATCACATTGTTGGCTCACGTTTAACTTGTTGTCCACGAGGACTCCAAGATCTTTTTTACATGTACTGCTCTCGAGCCAGGCATCCCCCATTCTGTATCTTTGCGTTTCATTTTTTCTGCCTAAGTGGAGTATCTTGCATTTGTCACTGTTGAACTTCATTTTTTTTTAGTTTTGGCCCATCATCTCTCTAATCTGTCAAGATCGTTTTGAATTCTGCTCCTGTCCTCTGGAGTATTGGCTATCCCTCCCAATTTGGTGTTGTCTGCAAACTTGATGATCATGTCTTCTAACCCTTCATCTAAGTAATTAATAAAAATGGGTTGTTGTAGGTTTTTTCGGGCTATAAGGCCATGGTCTACAGCAGTGGTTCTCAGCCTTCCTAATGCCTCGACCCCTTAATACTAGGGCTGGGCGGTTTCGTTTCGTTAATTCGTAATTCGTTAATAATTCGTTAATTTTTTCAATTACAAAACGATAACGAACCATTCTGGAGCAATTATTAAAAAAACGAATTTTCAAAAACATTTTGTAAATGCTTCGTATTTCGATATTGTATTCGTTTCGTTATTGTTTTGAGGTCGTTTCGTTATTATTTCCATGTCTGGGCCAGTTTTATGGTTTAATTAGTGAAAAAAAATTATAATATCACACCAACAGTCAACAACAGAGGGAGAGGGAAGCTTCAGAAGGTTTTGGAGGTTTTTTAGCGTATTTCGCGGTTGCGTCCGCCATTAACGAATCGATTCGTTATTGTTTCAGAAATCGATTCGTTAATTTTTTACCATTTACGAAATTTCGTAAATATCAAACTTTTTAAAAGGAAAATTTTGTAATTATTTTAAATATCGAAACAAAAAAAACCCCCAAATACAAATCGATTTTAGAAACAAATTTTTCCGTTGTTACCCAGGCCTACTTAATACAGTTCCTCATGTTGTGGTGACCCCCAACTGTAACCCTAACATTATGAATCGCCATGTAAATAATGATCTGCAGGATGTACTTTCATTCACTGGAGCAAATTTATTTATTTATTTATTTACTTTATATGCCGTTTTTCTCAGCCCTTAGGCGACTCAAAGCGGTTAACAACAACAGTTTCAATACACACATTCCAAAATCATTGGAACATTTAAAAGCAACAGCATAACAACAATTAAACATCAATATAACAAATCATTCACGTCTCATCAATAGAATCAGAATCCAGTCTCATCATCCGTTATTCCGTGTTCCTATAATCAAGCAGCTGCATTGCATTGATGCTGAACTGGTTCCACCAGGTCTTTGCCATAGCCACCAAGTTCTTCCTCTGCCCTGTTAGCAAGTTGGCTACCCCGTAGGTGATTAGCTTGCCCAATGGTTTCAGGAGGTTAAAGCCTTTTGTGGTATCCGAACCCCCCAAGGGGTCCAAAACCACATCTACACCTTTGGGGGAGATTTTCCTGACTTCTGCCACATAATCAGATGCCCGGTAGTCAATGGGGTGGGTGACTCCATTCTCCTTGAGGGTCTCATGCTTAGAGGCAGAGGCTGTACCAAAAATGGCAATATTTTCCACCGTTTTGCAGAGCTGGACTGCAGCAGATCCCACTCCACCTGCTGCCATGTGGACGAGGACACTCTGGTTGGATCTCAGGTTGCCAAAGTCAAAGAGCACCATGTAGGCTGTAATGTAATTGACCAGAAAGGTGGCAGCCTCCTCAAAGCTCATCCCTTCTGGCATTAGAAATGTCTGATTGGCTGGAACTGTCACAATTTCTTGCCAGAGGCCGGACCTGGCACAAATACCTGGTATGCCCAAATTTGAATACTGGTGGGGTTGGCGTGGGATTGATTTTGTCATTTGGGAGTTGTAGTTGCTGGGATTTACAGTTAACCTGCAAACAAAGAGCATTCTGAACCCCACCAACAATGGAATTGAAACAAAGTTGGCACACAGAACTCCCATGACAAACAGAAAATACTGGAAGGGTTTTAAGGGCATTGATTGGCCTTGCGTTTGGGAGTTGTAGTTCGCCTACATCCAGAGAGCACTGTGGGCTCAAACAATGATGGATCTGGGCCAAACTTGGCACGGATACTCAATATGCCCAAATGTGAACACTGATGGGGTTTGGGGAAAATAGACTTTGACATTTGGGAGTTGTACTTGCTGGGATTTATAGTTCACCTACAATCAAGGAGCGTTCTGAACCCCACCAATGATAGAATTGGGCCAAACTTCCCACACAGAACCCCCATGACCAACAGAAAATACTGTGTTTTCTGATGGTCTTTGGCGACCTCTCTGACACCCCTTCGCGACCCCCCAGGGGTCCCGACCCCCAGGTTGAGAATTTCTCCTGATGTTTCCCCTGCATCTATGGCAAGCATCCTCAGAGGTAAGCATCCTCACTACCTCTGAGGATGCTTGCCATAGATGCAGGCGAAACGTCAGGAGAGAATGCCTCTAGACCATGGCCATATAGCCCGAAAAAACCTACAACAACCCAGTGACTCCGGCCATGAAAGCCTTCGACAATTCATTAATAAAGATGTTGAACAGGACCAGACCCAAGACAGAATCCTGCGGCACTTCACTCATCACTTCTTTCCAGGATGAAGAGGAAGCATTGGTGAGCACCCTCTGGCTTCATCTGTTTAACCAATTACAGATCCATCTAATCGTAGTTTTGCCTAGCCCACATTGGACTAGTTTGTTTGCTAGAAGGTCATGGAGGACCTTGTCAAAGGCCTTATTGAAATCCAGGTACGCTACATCCACAGCATTCCTCGCATCTATCCAGCTTGTAACTCTATCAAAAACAGAGATCAGATTAGTCTGGCATGACTTGTTTTTGATAAATCCATGTTGACTATTAGCAATGACCGCATTTGTTTCTAAGTGTTTGCAGACCACTTCCTTAACAATCTTTTCCAGAATCTTGCCTGGTATCGACGTGAGGCTGACCAGACGGTAATTGTTTGGGTCATCCTTTTTCCCTTCTTGAAGATTGGGACCACAATTTCAGTGCCTTCATCATCTTCTTTAAGGTTATGTAAATCATGGTAATTGTTTTCCTATTGTTGAGCTCTATATTTGCTGAGTGTTATAAATGTTCAGCTCTAAATTAAACTTTCCCCCTTGACTTTCTTCAGGAATTATTCCAAATTCTTGCTAGTAGTATGGGGTCATTTGCATATCTGGATGACTCTGCAAAGTTTCTTTTTTAAATTTTTTTATCTTTATTGAATTTTCAAGTATAAAACAGACAAAACATTTACCATTCGACATACAATCGATACAGAAGGGGGGGTTATGGGGGGGAGGTAAAAGGATGGGGGGGGGGGGATGTAAGGTCCAGTTGTGTTACCTGGATTTCCTAAACATGTATGCTAATATATCTGTCTGATGACTTAGTGACGTCCTGATACTCTGCAAAGTTTCTTCATGGTCTCACAATATATTCTGTTCCCACTTTGTCACATGCTGTCTTGACATTACATCCTCTCCATAAACTGAAACGATTTCACAATGAATCACAGAGGCATTATGCCTTTAGCATTTAGGTAGCATATTACAGTGTGAACTTTGTACTTGGAGGGAAACGGAATGATGATGCTCATCTCTAACCTTCACCACAATGGCAGTCGATGAGCTACTGATAACTGGCACTGCTCGTTCACTTCCGTTGGCTTCCCACAGCACAGCAATGATACCAACTTCCCTCGCGAAAATTCCATATGAGGGCTACATGCCTTGTAACCTTACTTTTCAGATAACTCTTGTAGAGCCTTCAGTCACTCACTGTGATGCCTTTAATATACTTTTTGAAGGTAATATTTCTCTCCTAAGAGCTGACTTGGAGCCGTCATTGATACAGAAGTCATTTATGAGTGTCCAGCAACCCTGTGATTACAATGGATCATTTTCCATTGGTAGGTATTATTGATGTTGACAAGTAAGGACAATCTGCATTCTTGATTCCTGCCCATCTTGGTTAGTTGTCCAGGGAGGGGACGCAATTCACTTTCCATACAACTATTCCACACAACATTTCTCTGGGAGGGAAACTTTCCAATGTATTTAAAAGAAGCAGTAGTTAGACCATTTTTAAAAAGAGTTAAAACCTGGCTCTTTAAGCAGGCATTTGCAAATACAGTGTAACAGAATAATTCAGACCCACGAAACAATTGGATGGCACAACGGAAAATGATTTTAGTGATGAGACGCCGAGGACTTGTGTTTTATGGCTTTTATTGTTTTATTGTTTTTATATGGTTTATATTATATGTTACAATTTTAACTGCATTTTATGTATGTTGGTAAACCACCTCGAGTCACCTTCGGGTTGAGAGAGGCGGTATATAAATATAATAGATAAATAAATAAATAAATAAATTGTATTTATTTCATCACTCCATCACTCAATGTGATGCCTTTAATACACTTTTTGCAGATAATATTTCTCTCATAAGATCTGATTTGGTTGTTGTCATTGACAAAGAAATCAGTTATGTGTTTCAGCAACCCTGTGTTTACAATGGATCAGTTTCCATTGGTAGTTATTAATGATGTTGGCAAGCTGCTCAGACAAGAAAGGACAATCTGTTTTCTTCCTGGCTGTCTTGGCTAGTCATTCAGGGAGGAGATGCAATTCAGTTTCCGTCCATCAGTATTCCACACAAAATTTCTCAGGGAGGGAAACTTTCCAATTGATTGAAAAGAAGCAGTAGTTAGATCATTGGTGAAAAAACCTTTCCTGGATCCTCTGGACCATTTAACTTACAGATGAGTCTCTAACCTTCCTTTTTTTGGGCAAGGTCATCAAGAAGGCAGTTGCTCTCCAACTCTATGCAGTCATGGATGGCATATACTTCTTTGACCCATTTCAAAAAGGCTTCAGAGCAGGATATGAAGTTGAGACTGCTAAGGTTGGCCTAGTGGATGATCTCCGTCTTAACACTGACAGGGGGAGTGTGTCCCTGCTGGTGCTTCTAGACCTCTCAGTGGATCTTGATACCACCAACCATGGTATACTTCTGAAAAACTTGGGAGGAAGGGGCGGGATTGGGAATCGAAGGTACTATGTTGCAGTGGTGCTGGTTGTACCTTGCAGGCTGGTTCAAGATGGAGGTGCTCGGAAATAGCTGTTCCTCAAAGAAGGAGCTGTTTTATCCCCAATGCTTTTTAAAATTTACATGAAATGGCTGGAAGAGATCATGTGAAATCATGGGGTGGGATACTATCAGTATGCTCATGACACCCAAATACATTTCTCTGTGTCTTCGAAAACAGTTTTAGCTAAGTATAAATAAATCTGAATATGTTTTAAATGAATGGTTTTAGTGTAAATGAATACTTTATTAAAGCAAGAGGGGAAACTTATAGCTCACAGGTTACCCTAGGCCTATGGGGTGCCTATTTGGTTTATCCAGATCCTCTCTTCATCTACCAGCTGTTGGGTTTCTTGGTGTAAACATCCAAATGTTTTGAGGAAATAATTATTTTTGGCACACCTTTCTTACCTTCACATTTGTGGTAAAGGTGCAAAAGGCAGTGCCTATTCACTAGTTCTGATTTGTGTACATGTCTCTATGCATTGCATTCATTCTGGTAAAAAAAGGATAGACTCATCAAGTTTTAATTCATTTTATTGAGGCAAGATAATGTATTTGTTGCCAAGAAATTTGAACACACAAAAATTGGGTGGAAATCTTTATGAAGAACTCTTTATTATTTCCACGAGATCACTGCTCTGGCCCCCTGCAAATGTGCATAAGAAATTAAAACAAAAAAATTAGAACACTTCCAAAGGTAATCATTTTCAAAATTTGGAGGACACGCTGAGTGCTGCACAAAAAGTGGATGTACTCAAAGAGAAAGTTGCTATTCTATGGGAAACCAAAAGAAAATTGCTGGGGGAAAAATACTTTAATATTCCTCAGAAATTAATATTGTGATAAGAAACTCTACATGACTTTCAGATATGGGATGCAGTGAGACTTGCATCTGAGCAAACATGATTGAGCTTGTGTTGGTGCCTATCAATGGTTCTGTCTTTCATAGAAAACAACTTTCCTAGGCAGATTGTTAGTACCAAAATGAGTATCAGTAGATTTGCAGAATATCTTCCCACATGGAACTGTTTCAGGAAAGAATTACCAACCTGTAAAAAATAGGACATACCTTTGATATGCAGGGTCCTTCTTTTTTAATTCCAATCTGTTTTCCAGATGACCTGAAATATCAGAGTGGTTTGTATGAATTGTATTAAGAAAATGTATTCTGCCTTATAGGTCTCCTGTGGCCATAGCAAGTTACATGCAGGAATTGCTGGAGCACTTTATTTCAATGCTTTTTTATTCCTACCTTTTAGCCATTTGCTCCCTAGTGAAATATACAGTTCATTTTTGAAAGTGTAATAAGTGCGAAATAAGTGACTATGGGACAGCTGCATGCAAATGTCAGATTACAAAGTATAACCTAACAAGAGCCATCAGAAAGAGGAAAAAGTTGCAAAAAAACAAAAAAACCCAGTTTTTCTTTGGTTGCAAAATGCTGACTAGGCCATAGATACAGGCCACAAATATCTATGAAGTATGCTTTAGAACAGGGCTAGGGATCATGTGACCTTCCAGATATTGTTGGACCACAACTCCCAGCAGTTTCAGAAGTTCAGCAACTTTTGAAGGACTACATAAGTCCTTCCCATGCTGTAGAGGCCATATGGAGTGTTGAATAGTTTCCTGTCAGCTTGTGAGCCAGAATCTGATGAGGTTGAGAACAAAAATCCGCAGAATCCTTCCCCTTCCCTTCCCTCTGACTGCAGAAAAAGCGGACTCTATATCCCACTGCAGAAATATGGAAGATCCAGATGTTGTTAGTTAGTGCAATGGACTGGAAGGAACTGAGTATAAAATGGAACAAGGGGAGAGATTGATACTTGAAAATTCAGTGAAGCAACAGCATTTACCGAACAGTAGTGGGGAACTTAGGGGCTCCATTCAGATGTTAGGCCTCCCCACCCCATTGGTTGTGCTATCTTAGGGCCTTGCCACACATACTTCAGGAATCACTGTGGCTCACCACAGATCATGGTGATTCTGGTGGTGCTCATCCAGGGGCAAGGGCACCTATCACTCCTTGCTCTGCACCATCCCAGCTTCCCCCCAACCTCACCACATGGTAGGAAATATCATTGACCAGCTTGCCTTATTGAGGGCAATGCAATACAGGAAGCCTCTCATGTTGCTGCTGGAGACTTTTTTGGGTGGCAACTCCAGTTCTGTAACAGTTTTGCCCCAGTATCATCCTGGAAGCACTTCTCCAGTGTGTGGTAGGAGCCTATGGTCTCCGTGGCAAAGCTGTTGTAGAACTGGAATTGCCACTGAAATTTCCCCCGTGTGAGAGGTTGTTAAGCTATCCAAAAGAAATACATGCCACATATCACAATGAGAAATTTCCCAGTCGTAGGACCCTTCAGCCTCTTTTCAAACATGGAGAGGCACTGAGCTTATCATATTTTCCAGGGTTGAAAAGAGGCAGAATGTCCGGAAGGCAGGGAATTCTGAACATGGGCTAACAATCGTGTTCAGAGTTCCTACTTTTTACCTCCTTACCTTTCAGTTATGGTTCCAACTGTAAAACAGGTTGGGTGGGAACCAGCAAAGCTTTCCATCCTAGTTCATTGTCTAATCATTAGCAGTCTCTGGAGCACTGTCTCTTGTTTCATATGGGGTTTGGAGCAGAACAATATTATCCCATGGAAATACGTGTTTTTAACCTGGAGCACTGTCTCTTGTATCATATGGGGTTTGTTGCAGAACAATATTATCCCATGGAAATAAGTGGTTTTAAACTGGTGTCAGTCTCCTTTAATGTAAGGGGCTTTGGGCAGAGTATGGGATCTCTTGGCTTTTGGATATTATTGTTTCTCCTGATTTTTTTAAAAAGTAATACCAACTGTGTGACAATGTAAGATTAATGTATTGCCACCTCTTGGGTTTCCACATGTGAGTGTGATCGGGAGGCAGAACTCAAAACGTTATTGGTAATGATATAAGAGGAGCGATTCTCTACACTAAAAGGACAGTCACCTGTGCTTTCCATCTCAATGTGATGAGGTCTATGTAAGTTGACCTATTACTGACTAATGATATCCAATCCATCATGAATGTCTTATTTTGCAAACTTCAGGCCTGAGGACCGCCTAAGCAAAAATTTCCCAGAGTAATCTCTATTCCCTCTCTATGGGTCCTAGCAGGCCCGTAGCCAGGATTTCGTTTCGGGGGGGGGGGGGCTAAAAAAATTTCAGGGGGGTTTCGGGGGGCTGAGTTTCGGGGGGGGGGCTGAGTCTGAGTGAAAGCGGGTCTAGCCTAGCAAACCTTTTGTATCATTACCCCAATACCCCCATGCATATGGGATATATTGAGTATGGTGATCAGATCATGATATGAATAAACATAACAGTTTAAATAATGCACCAGTAAGGCCTTTTCGCGAACCACCATGAGAATTTCGGGGGGGGGGGATGAAGCCCCCCCCCCCCCCCCCTGGCTACATGCCTGGGTCCTAGTGAGCCTTGTGAGAGGAATGACCATGTTCAGCAGCCTGGAGTTGAGAGATCTAGCCATTGTTCATTTCCACAATGCCACAGAGTGATGTTGCTGGAGGCAGGCATGTAGCCAGTGGGGGGAGCTTGGGGGGCTTCAGCCCCCCCCCCAATTCTCATGGTGGTTCACGAAAAGGCCTTACTGGTGCATTATTTAAACTGTTATGTTTATTCATATCGTGATCTGATCACCATACTCAATATATCCCATATGCATGGGGGTATTGGGGTAACGATACAAAAGGTTTGCTAGGGTAGACCCTCTTTCACTCAGACTCAGCCCCCCCCCCCCCCGAATCGAAATCCTGGCTACGGGCCTGGCTGGAGGGAATTGAAATGGCTAGATCAAACTGCCTGCATGACTTAGAATACCAAACTAGAATGCATCTTTCAAGAGAGTGAGAGAGTGAGCTCAGGGTAGGTGATAGATATAATGTCAGCCTGACCAAAATAATGGCAGAACTCGAAATGTTATTAGTGATGATATAAGAGGGGTGATTCTCTACACTAAAAGGACAGTCATCTGTGATTTCCCTTTTAAATAGTAGTATTTTATTGAATTCCCACAACATATGTTGTGGAAATTCAATACATATGTGTGTTTTCCCTTCCCAATGTGATGAGGTCAGTCGAAGTGTCTTATTTTGCAACTAACTTCAGGCTTGAGGCCTGCCTAAACAAAAATTTCCCTGAGAAATCCCTATCCCATCTCAATGGGTCCTAGTGAGAGGAATGACCTGGAGTGGAGAGCTCTAGCCAGTGTGTTATTTCCACAGTGCCACAGAGTGAGAATTGGAAAGCCTAGATCGAACACTAGTTTGCTATTACTTAGAGTTCTGAACTAGAATGCATCTTTCAAGGGAGTGAGCTCAGGGTAGGCGAAAAATATAATGTCAGCCTGACCAAAATAATGACACCTTTTCTTGTTCCAAAGGACGCCAAGCATTTCACTTGCCATGCGTCTGGGCTAGATCAGGAAAAGACCAGACTTTATAAGGCGCAGGAGGATTACCAACTGCCCTTCCCTTTTTATTTTGTTTTCAATGAAGAAGCATAGGTCCATGCAACAGGTCTATAATGAGTAGCTGTTGTCTTAACACTTTTTAAAGTTAAACTTACCGAATTTTTGCACACAAGAGGCATATGTTGGAATAAGTGATGCCATCAGTGCCACACACAGGTGCATGTATTTTGGGACAGGGGGCCTCTTTGCCCTTTGGCGGTTCTGGAAATTTACTGCAGTCAACCTATAAATACATTGCAGACAATATAAGTAAATGCAATTTAATAGACATTATTTTTATCAAGTTTTGTTAACTGGCTGCATCTAGCTGGGAACCACAAGTACCCATAGAGGATATCTACAAGTCCCTTGCCTGTCCTGCTTTCACATCACACCCTTCACCGGACTTCAAAAAAGATAAATAAATGGGTCCTAGAATTAACTCTCCCTAAAACCCAAAATGATGAAACAGAGGCTACAGTACTTTGGCCATGTCACAAGGAGGAGGGACTCACTAGAAATGTCAGTAATTCTTGGTACTGTGGAGAGCAATAGGAAAAGAGGAAGACCCCCTTCCAGATAGTTGGACCCAATCAGAGAAGTCAGGACCCTGTGCCTGCAAGACCCAAGCATTGAGGACAGGGTGATTTTGAGACCTCATTCATAGGGTCACTAGAAGTCAAAGTTGACTTCAAGAAAATTAACAGAAATCATAAACCCATTGGGACCTACACAATCTTGGGAGTTGTGCCAGAGTGAGAGCATAGGAAAGCATTTTCTTTTTGTATTACTCTCTTCCCACTAGATGGCAAATAATTGGCAGGGGACAATCAACACAGAAGACAAATAATTGTTTAATTGTTGATTTCAAAATTAAAAAGAAGGATACTTACACATTCTCCTTTGTGGGCTAAGTCTATTTTGGCTCCACCTCTAGAAAAAGAAACTTGAGTTAATTAAGAAACTGGCCAAATGTGTGAGGCATTTAGAAACAAAGCATATACTACTTATGGAGTGCAATGTGACAATACACAATCTTGGGCATTTATTTTCAGAGGTGAGTCCCTAGATGTCATGTGTGGTTTGTTCCCAGGTAAATATGTACAGGAGAGCATATTAAAACTTACCCTTGCCTTGCAACATTTTTTTCTTTCCTCTACAGCAGAGATGAGTGTGGTGGACCTGCTGTAATATTACACTGCAACTCTTATCATCCCAATAATTGACTTGTTTGCTACAGCTGCTGGAAGTTGCATACCAGGAATCCACATGTCTTTGTGTGATATGTGATGTTATTTTATGTGATGTGTTTAATAATGTTTACTGTTTTATCAGGGAAGCAGGGGCGGCTCAACCCGTTACGCAAAGTAAGCATTTGCAGTATAGTTGATTTTGCCCAGGGGCGCTCTTGAGGTACTCTTGGGGAAAAGAGACCTTGACATATGCAAGTTGTAGTTACTGGGATGTATAGTTCACCTACAATCAAAGAGCATTCTGAACTCCACCAATGATGGAATTGAACCAAATATGGCACACAGAACTCCCATGACCAACAGAAAATATATATCAGTGATTGGTTGGGGGGGGGGGCAAAATACTGTTTGCTTACCGTTGAAAATTACCTAGGGCCGCCTCTGCAGCGGAGGGTCAATTTTGATGTTTTATACTGTTTTACATCAATGGCATTGTATTGTTGCCAACACTAGGAACTGCCCCGAGTCCCCTTTGGGGATGATACCAATTCCGTGAAATAAATAAATAAATAAATAAATGGAGGGTCACAAGTTGTCAGTTCTACTTCAAATAAAACTTCTCAACTGGTAATTAAAGAACAAATTCAGAAGAATGTATTCAAATTTCTCTATTATTTTTGTTCTTCCAATTGTTTGAGAGTTTTGTAGATGAGGCTTTTGTATTTCAACTGTCCTGCCTTAACTGGGGCTCTCCAGGTGGCATTATCTTTAGTTTTTAATTGTTGTGTTACTCTACGTTAATTTTTTCACTAAGAAATAAAATCTGTTAACATGGAAGGAAAAACAGCTGATAATCTTTACTGATTGCTTGGGCAAACCCTCAGTCTTAAGAAATATCATGAATCTTTTTAAGGTCATTTCTTAAGGTCGCAAAATTTCATGATCTGGTCTGAAGTGTCCAATTTACATGGACCATCATGACAAAGGAGACAAGAGTGCAAAATCTCCAATTTTGATGGGTTCAGCTCAAACTCACTTTGCTACATTCTGGAGGGGTTCATTGATTTGGTGAGCATGGGATCACATGGCCAGACACAAAAAGCTGAGTTAAAGAAGGGCCACTTTATTTATTTAATAATACTGTATCAAGCCTGGACTAAGCAAGTGGGGGGACTAACTCAATGTGGGTTTAGGTGTGGCAAACATGCTCTCCACATTGCCAGTCTTGAAAGCTGAGCTCCAATCATGCATTTTGATACCCCCTTTAAATCCAAGTTATTGTATGGTGGAGGAAGAAAATCTCTATGCAACAGTATCATTCTGAGGAAGAAAATCTGGGTTTGAAAAAGTATCATTCTACAGTGAAGATGGAACATCTTCAGTGTGTTCTATAGGCAGAGGCGGCCCAAGGTAATTTTCAATGGTAAGCAAACAGTATTTTGGTCCCCCCCCCCCAACCAATCACTGATATATATATTTTCTGTTCGTCATGGGAGTTCTGTCAATTCCATCATTGGTGGAGTTCAGAATGCTCTTTGATTGTAGGCAAACTATACATCCCAGTAACTACAATGTCAAGGTCTATTTTCCCCCAAGAGCGCCTCAAGAGCACCCCTGGGCAAAATCAACTATACTGCAAATGCTTACTTTGCGTAACGGGTTGAGCCGCCCCTGCTCCCCTGATAAAACAGTAAACATTATTAAAATAGACCTTGACATTTGTGAGTTATAGTGCTTGGATTTATAGTTCACCTACAATCAGAGCATTCTGAACTCCACCAATGATTAAATTGAACCGAACTTGGCACACAGAACTCCCATGACCAACAGAAAATACTGGAAGGGTTTTTTGTTTTTGATTTTTTCTCCTGCAGTCACTCCAGGAGACTATTTTTATTACTATTATTATAAAACTCAGTTGGAAGGAAACCCCAAATCCAGCCCCCATCTTTCTGCCAGGCATGAAGATAGAATTACTCTTCTATTATTATACACCATCTTCTATTTCATCATCATCATCATCATCATCATCATCATCATCATTATACATTACACAGGATACAAATATGTGAAAATAATTAATTCATTAATTATGTGCATGTGTTTTGGACTAGTAGTCTGGAGACCTGGATTCTAATAAATGGCAATGGAGTGCCACGGGATGACCTTGAGAAAGACACACTTTCTCAACCTCAAAGAAGGCAAAGGCAGACTCCTTCTGAAAACATCTTGCAAAGAAAATCCAGTGCTAGGTTCATCCTGGGGCCCTTCCAGATGGGCCCTATATCCTAGGATCTGATCCCAGGTTATCTGCTTTGAACTGGATTATATGAGTCTGCACTACCAGATAAACAGAAAATCTGGGATCAGATCTTGGGATATAGGGCCTGTCTGGAAGGCCCCTAGACCCCTTCTACACTGTCCTTATAACCCAAGATCTGATCCCAGGTTATCTGCTTTGAACTGGATTATATGTGTCCACACTGCCAGATAATCTGGGATAAACAGAAAACCTGGAATATGAGGATTTAAAGATTGAACTGCACAAACCAGTCAAAGTGGTCCCAGTGGTGATTGGCACACTGGGTACAGTGCCTAAAGACTTTGACCTGCACTTAAAAACAATCAGCACTGACAAAATCATGATCTGCCTGCCAGCTGCAGAAGGCTACCTTACTGGGATCTGCATGCATTATTCACCTATACATCATACAGACCTAGACAGTTGTGAAGTGTCCCACGTGTGATCCAATACAACTTTCTGCCCCATATAACAACAACAACAACAACAACAAACCCACAAACAACAACAGTAAGTCAAAGTTATAGCAGGTTCCCTCATCTTTTCTGCCCCATATAATAAAATAATAATAATAATAAGAAGAAGAAGACGAAGAAGAATATAACAATAACAGTAAGTGGAGCCAGGAAGTTCTTGGATGCAGAGGGGAAGACTCCAACTCCCACTATTCCGCGCAGCCTCAGGCCCTTTCCTTGTAAGCAGGTGACTAGAACTGACCTTCCTCCTGGATCTTGAACAGCTGGAGCTGGAGGCACGCGGGCGCCTCCTCACACTTAGCTGCTCTCGCCTCCTCCCGCACGCACGCACAGAATGGAGGGAAACACACGAGCCCGCCTTCCCAACTGTGGGGCGCATGCGCAGAGCCAGAAGGGAGGCGGCGGACTCTGTGTAGCCTTCAAGAAGGAGAGGGAGGCAGAGAAAACTTGCGGAGGGGAGGGGGCATTTACAGAGGCGCCATTTTTTGTGCCTCTGGAAAAAAACTATTCAGCAGCCGCTTACCCAACGTAATGGAAGAACCGCCCCTGTCTATAGGGTCAGGTTTTAATTTGAAATTATATCCTTGACTACCCATTCAACCTTCCCCTCGGCAAAACACCTGACCCAAGGTGTAGTCCAATTATGTTGCTAAAAACTGTAGAGTTCTATATATTTACTTAGTTAATTGTGTCCTGTCCTCAGTTGTAGTGCCAAATGTCAATGCTTCTTAAGACAAAACTTGGTGACCTTGCTCAGAGCAGCTGTATTTGGCATTTCATGTATTACTCTTAAAATACACATGCTAGTAATCTCAAGGTTGGACTTCTGCAATATGCTATACATTTGGCTCCCTTGGTAGCTGGTTTGAAAACTACAAATAATTCAAAATAAGGTAGCTAGATTGATTACGGGAACATCTATGCGTTTTGGTCTGGAATCATCAGGACTTGCAACAAACCTGATCTAGAATCGCTGTTATTTCTCATATTCCTGCCATTTATCATAATAATATTTAGTTAGCTAGTTGTGTTGTCCTTGGTGTCAGTATTGTTGTTTTGACAGAGATGAAATATTGCATTTAGTTTAAACTCTTGGTGTTCGGTGTAGAAATGTAATGCTGTGCAAGGGTTAAGTGCACAAAGCTTTTGATTTATGCCAAGAGCATAGCTTTGGACAGTTCCTGCTATATCACACATTTTCAACAATGTCCGGTGAACAGTGAAGACATGTCTGTGAATATTCTTGTACATAAGTTTTGTTTTTCTGTAGTTTTTCTAGAAAGTAACAATAAAATGCCACTCCGAGGATTTGGAGTTGAATGAAGGCTGCACGCTTCGTATGTTTTTGTGCTTCTTAGCAGTTGCTCTGAGGCCAAATAAACTGAAACTTGGGTAGATGTATTCTTTCTGATTTGAACAGTGAGCACCCAAACATCCTCAGTTTACTGACTTGATGTTTTTGTGGCCTAAATCTACCTGTTATTCCTAACTGGAGAAAATGTAATAAATCAGTGGAGCTTCCCTAAATGCACTGTATTTTATTAATGGATGAATGAGATGATTTTATACTGTTTTATTATGATAGTTTTTAATTGTTTTACATTGTTTTAATTTTTAATGTTTTATTATTTTAATTTATATTTATAATTTTGTTGTTTATCTAATGTCAATTTACTTTGTACTGTGATTGTTGTTGCCGTTGGCATCTAATGGTTGCAAGGTGTAAGCCGCCCTGAGTCCCCCCTCGGAGGTTGAGAAGGATGGGATATAAATGTTTGTAATAAATAAATAAATGTTTAGATATTGGTTGGTTATTTTTGTGAGTTGATTTGGGTCTTACTCCAGGAAAAAAGCAACATATAAAATAAGTAAATACTAGACTTGTTTGATTAAAAAAATGGTTCAAAACTCATTTCGGATGTAGGTGGTTTGGATCTAAAGTCAATTCCAATTTTCACAGAAAAAAAAGTTCAAAACTGTTCAAAACTTCCGAGACTTCTGAATGCTTCGTTAATGGTTTCAAAGTTTTATTTCCTCTTTCAATGGGTGGTCTTTACTTAGAAAGTAGTTGTTTTATTCCAGAAAGTGGGGGGAGGGAAGCCCACCAAAGCGGTTTTAAAGCAGCAGGAGAGAGAGAGAGAAACAGAGGGGAAGCTTTCCAAAGCAGTTTTAAAGCTGCAGGAGAAAGAGAGAGAGAGAGAGGGAGGGAGAGAGAGAAACCGAGGGGTAGCCTTCCAAAGCAGTTTGAAAGCTGCAGGAGAGAGAGAGAGAAAGATTATTATTATTATTTATATTCCGCCCTTCTCACCCCATAGGGGACTCAGGGCGGATTACACATGTACACATATGTGGCAAACATTCAATGCCAATTAGACATACAATGTATATAGACATACACAGAGGCTATTTAACTTTTTCTGGCCGCCAGGGGAGCTGTCGCTTTCATCGTTCATCTGCGACACTGATGAAGTACTTTTGCATTCCCCGCGTGCTTTTGCTGGAGTGCTTTGCTGGAGTCTTTTTTATGGCCTCATAAATTAGTTAAATTAGCCTCCCCACACATAGATGGTACCTAATTTTCCTACTTGACAGATGCAACTGTCTTTCGGGTTGCAAAGGTCAACAACAAGCTACTCAATTGGTTGGACACACACTCTGACCTGGGCTGGCTTCGAACTCATGACCTTTTGGTCAGAAGTGATCTTAATGCAGCTGACACTCAGCCAGCTGCGCCACAATCCCGGTGAAATGGAGGGAAAGCCTTCCAAAGCAGTTTTAAAGCTGCAGGAGAGAGAGAGAGAGAGAGAGAGAGAGAGATGGAGGGGAAGCCTTCCAAAGCTGTTTTAAAGCTGCAGGAGAGAGGGAGAGAGAGGGAAAAATACAGAGGGGAAGCCTTCCAAAGGAGTTTTAAAGATGGAGGGGAGGGAGAGAGAGAGAGAGAGAGAAACGGAGGGGAAGCCTTCCAAAGCAGTTTTAAAGCTGCAGGAGAGGGGGGGGGGGAGGGGAAGCCCTCCAAAGCAGTGTTTAAAAGCAGAGGGAGAGAAAGGAAAGGAAGCGAAAGGAAACCTTCCAACTGATTCTTAAGAGAAATGGCGGAAAAAGCTTCAAAATAGCAAGGATACTTCCGGGTTTCCCAAATTGCTTTGAAATCGCTTCGAAAAGGCATTTTATCTCAATTCATTCCAAGTAATGAAGATTCCGACTAAACCTAACCAACCCTAGTGAATATGTATGTATGTGTGTGTTTGCGTACACACATGCAGATCTGATCTATGTTAAATATTTAGAGTTTCCCTTTGTCCCTTTTGGAAATCATGCATTTTTAATACCTTTCATGATTTCACCTACTCATCTAAATGAGCTGTGCAAGTAAGTACTCACAGGATTTCAGCACACAGCGAACATTCATTGCCATAAGTTTTGCCATCAGTTCCGCAGACTGGGTCACTTTCAAAAGTGCAGATTATTGGAACTTGTTGCTGCTGTTGCTGCTGCTGCTGCTGCTGTGGTTTATACTTTTTGCAATCAAGCTACAGAATAATGAGAATGAAAAAGATTAAAATACATAATACCACAATTCAGGAAAACTATTTTTGTCCACAAGACAGAAAAGACTTTAATCTTTTCTTCATTAGTAAACATACTACTTTACCACTGACTACCTTTACTTCGTCTACTAGGAGTTGTAGTCCATCCACTTCTTGAGGGCCACATTTTGCTCATTCTTGACACAGAGAGTAATATGTTTTTTTCAGGGGTATTATTAAAACATAGCTTAAAGAATTCCTTGTATCACCTTAGTCAAATAAGGTGGCATTTCAATAATTGAACAGATACATGACATAATGAAAGATTGTATTTGGGAAGTATTGTTTGATCTGTTTTTTCTACAGATTGTCCCATGAAGGATCAAATCTGTTAAATAAGAATGGAAATTGCTCTAAAGCTCTCCTCCCCCATAAAAAAGGATCCTTTTGCATGCTTTAAACATAATCTTTGAAAGTGTATTTTTCATCTTTTTCAAAACAAATAAAGACCAGAAACATGTTTCTCAATGTCTGTGTAAAAGGACCAGAGCTGCCTAGCAGTAATCATATGTATGTCTACTCAGAAGCAAGATCTGTTATTTTTCTGTGGCGTTTAATGTTTTCTCTCTCTTATGTATAGTTACATCTCTTTCTATAATTCTTTAGCGCCAACTTTCATGTTCTGTTTTATGAATTTCTGAATCATGTTAAAATGCTATGGCAAGCAATTAGACTGTTTCAAAATGAGAGTAACAAAATATACCTTATGTGCAGAAGTCCCTGAACCTGAAAATAAAATTAGAGAAAGCATTACAACCTCTTCAAGAAGAGTTTGGGATATCTCACAAGTCTTTGGGATATTTCATTTGAGGGTCAAACTGTCTATAGATTTAGTAATCTAGATGTCCTGTATTATGAATCCCTTTCATGTGTTATGTCAGAACCCAAAGCACTTACAGCACTCAGTGTTAGACAAATTTTAACCACCATTCAGTAACCAGAAATTTTTATCAATGTCAACTTCAAACAATTCTTATTTTGGACTAGCTGTACACAGTAATGAGAAAGTCTAATTAATAATAATAACAACAACAATAGTATTAGTAACAATAGAATCGCAGGGTAGGAAGAGACCTCCAAGGTCCAACCATTCCTGCCCCACAATCAAAGCACTCCTGACAGATGGACATTCACCCTCTGCTTAATAATAATAATAATAATAATAATAATAATAATAATAATAATAATAATAATAATAATAAAATAGAATTCTAGGGTAGGAAGAGACCTCCAAGGGCCATCCAGTCCAGCCCTTTCTCCTATAAAGGAAAAACACAATCAAAGCACTCCTGATAGATGGCCATTCAGCCTCTGATGATGAAGAAGAAGAATAGAAGTTCACCTACACCCAGAGAGCACTGTGAATCCAAACAAAGATGGACCCAAACTTGGCACAAATACACTGGTGGAGTCTGAGGAAGACCTTGACACTTGGATTTATAGTTCACCTGCAATCGAACAGAAGTCTGAATTCAGCTGCGGGGGGGGGGGGGGGGGGGGGCTTTATTCTCCCTCCTCACACGCTGCCTTTTTTCACCATTTTTGGCACTGTGCGTGCCCTGCAGCCTGCGGGGAAGGTGGAGGGGGTGGAGCTCCCTGGCTCAAGAACCGGCAGAGCAGCCCCAAGGCCTCTTCGTGACATTGCCAGGCCTTGAGCCAGGGAGGAAGGGGTGGAGGAGGAGGATGCGGCTGCCTCTCTGCCAGCAACTGTGCTTGGGCCAGGCCTCAGCCAGGTACATTTGGTATGAAAGCCATCGCCACGCACCAGCAGCACAGCTGTGGAGAGGGAAAGGCCTCCTCCTACTCCTGCTCCCTGGCTCAAGGCAGCTTTGAGGCTGTTCTGCCAGGTCTTGAGCAAAGCAGGAGGTGCAGGAAGAGGCCTCTCTGCCTCCACTGCTTAGGCTGGTGCTTGAGATTAGGGATTTTTAGTTCACCTACAATCAATGAGCATGCTGAACACCACAACTGAACAGAAGGGGAATGTGAAATAAGGTGGCCTCCTCAGTGCTCCTAGCCTCCCTTGCCTCCTGCCCTGATCCAGCGGTGAGAGAGGATGGCCGTTAGTGCCTCTCACGCTGGTTGTGTCCACGGGGACGGCGGGAAGAGAAGGGGTTTGCACGCACACGCTGTGTTCTCTTTTTCCTTTTTTAAATTTTAAAGGTCTTGTCATTTTTTGGGGGGAGTTTTTTTGAGTGAAGGACATAGATTGCATTTGTTGGTGTCTCGTGGCCAAATCTGGCGGCAATTTGTCCAGTGGGTTTTAAGTTCTGTTAATCCCACAAACGAACATTACATTTTTATTTATATAGATGTATGATCAGGTAATAGAAATGGTTATACATTTAGAAATAATTAAGGTAAACTAATAATAACTAAAGTAAAGAATAGAAAGCTATCATAGTTTTCATTCTGTTGTACAGAGAAAATGAAATTTATAATATATGCCTAATGTGTAGAGCCTTGAAGGTGGGAAAGCAGTGCAAATAAGTCTTACCGAGAAAGAAACAACAAATCACAAGGGAAAGGATCACAGAGATGGTGGTTATCTTCATGGTTAAGGAAGGCAGAGTTCTCTCTGGATTCAGCTGCAGCTTTGCTCTTCTTTCTCCGATAGGTTTTTGACACACCTGAGAGCATATTTATAGTATTCTATCTGCCATCTCATTATTTACTTTTATCACAAGGATTTCGGATGATCCACATTCTTAAACAATTTTATTTGGGGCAGAGGTGAAGCAAGAGGAATGCTACTTTTCTTCATTTTAGATATGCTCTCAGAAAATTGACAAATTGTGTGTGTGACTTAAGGGTGAGGAAGTTATTTTTTATGTATATCCCATTCCACATCCCATGGAAACTTGGAGGGACAGGGGGTAAGGTGGAACAGTGTGAAGCTGGTAGTGCTTACTCCAGGAGCAGAGGAAAATGCATGTATTTTTCCTTCCACTACAACGTTCCCACCTCTTTCCTGCCATTAGAACTGGAAGAGAGATTCAGGGATCAGGATCAAGCTTGGGCTAGATGGAGTTACGCTCTCCCTGAAAACACAGGTCCACAGTTTAGGGATCCTTCTAGACTCCTCCTAGACTTCCATCAAACCTGGAGACCCAGGTTTGTGCAGCTGTCAGGAGTGCATTTGCACATTTGAAAAATGCTGCATCTACTGCTTCCATTCTTTCAGAGGGCAGGTATAGCCACACTGGCAAATACCATAGGACCTCATCATATTCAGGGATAGAAGCGCTTTCTCTCTGCTTCTCTCTGCTGCCAGCACATAGTCCGCTGGAGCCCATCACATGATGCAGGGCTGCTTCTGTGGGACTCTGTAGGACTCCATCCCAGCAGCATTGCTGCAGTGGAGGCCAGAGGAGTTGAGTGTATACCCAGCTCTTCAGAGGAGAAAGCTAGAGGAGCTGAAGAGGAAATGTGGGAACAGCAGCGAAAGATTGTGGGAAGGGAGTCTATGAGCCCCAAAAGGAGATGACAGACCTCGACAGGTCATTCCTCTGCCCCATGACTGCCCCATGATTGCCCCTGCTGGCCACCGCTTTACTCCTGTCCACCTGATAAGATCCTGAGTTTCATCTTATTTGGATTACTGTAATGTACTCTGCAGGGTGTGAAAAGTGTTTGGAAACTTCAGCTGGTCAAAAGAGCTGTGACTAGGTTGCTAACAGGGGCTGGCTAAAAGGAGCAGACAACCCCTTTGTTGCAGAAGCTCTGTTGACTGCCAGTTGGTTCCCAGGCACAATTCAAAGTGCTGAGTATGACCTATAAATCAATTTATGGTTCAGGTCCAGGCTACTTGGCTGATCGCATTTCAATGTACAAACCTGTCCATGCCCTGAGATCCTCAGGAGGGGCCCTTCTCTCGGTCCCACCTCCATCGCAAACTCAGTTGGTGTAATGAGTTTCTTAGATTTTATATATTGTATTATTTTTAGTGTTAACTTCAATAAATGTAGTAGAGAAGTCAAGGTAATTTTCACAGGTTCCATTTCACTGATTCCTCTTTGAGAAGACAGGAGGGTGCAGAGGAATTCGACAGGAGATACATTTGGAAAATCACTCTACTGCAAATGGTGGGAACATGTCACTGTGTCAAATTGCTTGAACTAGTTGATGCTGGATCTTCCATTTTGCAACAGCAGAATATATAACATAAAAATTGAGTAACAAGGAAGTGTTTCGTCCCTTTTCTTCATTAAAAAGTCAAATAAGGAAGTTTGAGAAGCACAGTGGGGTCCATAGCTGACATAACTGGCTCACTGACAATGGTTGTAAGATAAGGCAACAAAGAGACTACGTGGCTGCATTTAGAGCAATGCCAGCATTATGTTCTATTCTGAAGAGGACAGTTCTCCACCTGGAGACATTTTGTCTTGAAGGCATATCTGGTCCAAAAGGTTACCCTGTAACAAAGAGGTCCAACTCATTTTGCTGCCATTATTGGAACAACAGTTGGAATGCCATACCAGGACAGGATGTATTGTAGAGCTTTCCAAACATTTCATGCTGGTCACATGTTTTTTAGACGTGCACCATTTCATAAAACAGTTATTTCAGTTTTACTAGCATATTGGAGGTTAAACTAACCCCTTATGAGAGAAAAGGAGATATACAGTATTTGAATTCGAATAAAATGTATGAGGACACAGCATATTTCATGAAAACCTTTTTAAAAACTTGCTTAGGGACCCAGCGATGCCCAGGTTATTTGAAAAAGGCATTGTTTCTCAGGATGCAGGTGAACTATAGCTCCCTTTCCCCCAAACTTCACCAGTATGTTCTGTTGGTTATAAGGGCTATGGTTGCTATGTTTGGTCCTGGTTCATCATTAGTGGGGTTCGGAGTGCTCTTTGATTGCAGGTGAACTATAAATCCCAGTGTCTACAACTACAAAATGTCCAAGCCAATTCCTTTCAAAACCCACCACTATTCAAATGTGGGCATATTGGGTATGCTTGCCAAGTTTTGTCCAGATCCATCATTGTTTGGGTTTATAGTGTGTTCTGGGTGTAGGTGAACTACAACTTCTATAAATTCCTCAGTGGGGGACACAGTGCTCTGACTTGATGCTAGATGAACTCCAACTTTCATCATGTGGAGGAAATCCCCCAAACTTCTCCAGTATGTTTAGTTGCTGCTCAGTTCTGCTGTTTGTTATGCAGACAGAGTTGAAAAGAGTAGGAAAGGGTTAAGGGAGAGGCAGTGGGTGGGCTCATGCAAATTCCACACCAATGGAGAAACCTGGGGTGTCTGCCTGTGATGGAGGAAAACATAAAATCTAGGATGAAATTGTCCCTAAATGAAAGCATTCCTTGGGTGGTGGGCCATAGTGTTTGGGGAGGACATTGACAGGGGTTGGACTAAATGTTCATGGTGCTCACCTGCTATATCCACGGGGGTATGGGGCATCATCCCCCGGCTTTGCCCCACACTTGCCCTGTTCTTATAATTGGGAACACAGGGAATCTCCTGTGTTTTTGTTGCTCCCTCTTGTAATGATTTCAACCCAGTTAAGAGACAGAACCCCACCAGAAGTAGATGGGCATTATTTAATGGGATCCGGAGGACTCCATTACTCAACTGTGGTGAAAGTATTGTACAACAGGAAATTTACCCATGTGATGAGGTCATAAGTCACCCTCTTCATACATCATCAACAGACCTTGGTTTATTTTTCATGCTGATTCATACCAAAATATATTTCTTCATGCCTTCAAAAACATACTCAGTTAACAATAGCAAGTTTTTTCTGCATGAATGCCTGGAGGTGGTAATTGGCTGGATGAAAAAAACAAACAAATTGAAACTAAATCCAGACAAAACGGAGATGCTTGCCATCAAGGTTCTTAATCTGGGGGTGGAGATGTGTCAACCAGTTGGATGGAATTAGACTCCCCTTAAAGGTTATTTGCAGCTTGGAAGTGCTCCTGGATCCATCTTTTCAAATGTCAACCCAGGTAGTGAGGAATGCTTAATACTAGCTTCAGCTGATACACCAGATGTGCCCCTTCCTAGAATTAGAAGACCTATAGATGGTAGTGCATGCAATGATAACCTCTGCCCTGCGTTATATATTAGGGTACCTTTGTGCCAAGTTTGGAAGCTCCAATTGTAAATATGGCAACCAGATTGGTTATGGGAACATCTTAGAGCGAGCATGTTACACATATACTAAAGTCTCTCTACTGTTTGCCTATTACTTTCCGAATTAAGTACAAAGTGTTGGCTTTGACCCTTAAAGCCCTACATGATTTGGGTCCAGGTTACTTACAGGATTGCCTTCTCCCATACTTAGGATACTTTGTTTCTCTGCAGGATGGCTACTCCATCCTGCCAGAACCCAACTGGTAACCATCACCCAAAAACCGATCCCTGGATTCCTTTCACTACTGAAAATGTGAACTCCTGTTTCATGTAAGCTTTATTGTATAAACAAGGCTTGGAAATTTTTCCTTTACACTTCTCACATACTACAGTTGATTTTTAGACGGTTTCCTCCATAGTTGCTCCATTGTATTCATTACAAACATCATCTTCAACAGCTTTTCTTTTCATAGTTAGAAATATCTCATAATTCTTTCAAACTATAGTCTGTCCTGCTCCTCAAACAGTCTGAGGGACAGTGATCCGACCCACAGCTTAAAAAGTTTGAGTACCCCTGGCCTATTCACGGGTTAAGCTTTGTGTACATGTTTGTATACATGCATTCAGGATGGTAAAAAGGAACAGACAAAAAAAAAGCTTTAATTCATTTTATTTAGGCAAGATAACATATTTGGAGCCAGGGAATTTGGAGACTCAGAATTTGGGCCCACATTTTTATAAATAGCTCTTTGGTCTTTCAGTCTGATCCATCATGCTTAGCCTCTGGTCTCCTGCAAATCTGCCTAAGAAAGAAATAAAAGTATTAAGAAATACTCCTCAAAGCCGCTGTTTTCATAATTTGGACTATTCACCGAGTACTGGACAAATATGTGGATGCACCAATAGATAAAAAGCTACTATTATAGAGGGAAAGCAAACAAAATTGCTCATTAAAGTCCATCAATGAAAAAGCTGTACCAAAATGAAAATGTGTAGATTTACAGAATACCTTGCAATATGAAATTGTTTCAGGAAAGAATGACCAACAGATAAAATAGGACATACCTTTTATTTGCAGGGCCCTTCTTTTTTTATGCCAATCAATTTTCCAGATGACCTGAAACAGCAGAGTGGTTTGGATGAATCGTATTATGACAATGTATTTTACATTACAAGTCTGCTGTGGCCATAGCAAGTTACATGCAGGAACTGCTGGAGCACTTTATTTCAATTATTTTTATCTCAACCTTTTGGCCACATGGTCACTAGAAAAGTATAGAATTCATTGTCAAAAGCTTTCACAGTCAGAATCACTGGGGTGTTGTGTGTTTTCCGGGCTGTATGGCCATGTTTTTGCAGCATTTCCTCCTGACATTTTGCCTGCATCTATGGCTAGCATCTTCAGAGAATTATATACAGTTCATTGTTTAAATTGGAATAAGCATGAAATAAGTGATTATGTGATAGCTGAATGCAAATTCCATATTACAAAGTCTAACCTAACAAAGAGACATCAGGGAGGGGGGAAAAGGAATAGTTGCAAAAAGCATAGTTTTTATTTATTTGCAAAATTCTGGTTAGGCCATAGATCTAAACCAGGAACCATCCTCCAGAGTGATGTTACTTGAGGAAATTGACATGGTTAGATCTAACTGTCAGGCACTACATAAAGTTGCAGCCTAGGATGCATCTTTCAGGGGAGTGGGCTCAGAGTAGGAGGTGATAATAGCAATAATAATGATAACAACAAAAATAACAACAACAAAAATAACAACAACTTTGAAATCCCATGAGGTTATCAAACAACAGTACCCCAATATTTCATCCTAATGACGACATTCTATTTATCTACCTTACCACCGGGGCCAGAATGTGCTATGCGAGACATTGGAAACAAAAAGAAACACCGGACTTAGACAAATGGCAACAAAAGATAAAAGAGATTAAGGACATGGGCAAATTAACTTTTTTGTTAAAAAAGAACTCCGGGAACCCGATCAAATTTACAGACTAGTCAAAAATAGAGGAATACGAAAAAATGCATTTTAAATAAACCCAATATGATGACATTAAATATGAAGGGAAGTCACAAGAAGTTTCGATCCACAGCCTCGCTTTTTGCAGTAGCAAGAACCATCATCTTTAATATAGTAAATATGTAAGTTACAAAAATAGTAGTCCCGCAGAAGGTTGGATGGAAGTCAAGAGACATATTTTTTATGTTTATTTTTTTCTTTTCTCTCTCCATTTTTGATAGTGTATACCTTTTTTTTCTTTTCTTCGTTTCCCTCTCTCTTTTCTTACTTTTCTATTACCATATTGTTCTCCCACTTTACATATAAATCTTCAAATCACTCCCTAACCCAACCCCCCCAACCCTAACCCCCTTGTTTCTTTTATATTAAACGCAATAAAAATTATTATTTCTAAAAAAATAACAACAACTTTATTCTTCTATCCCACCACCATCTCCCCAAAGGGACTCAGGGTGGTTTACATGGTGACCAAGCCCAATCAAAAAATTAAAATATAGCACAGTAAAATACACTGCATTACAAAAAAAAATTAAAACAAAAAACATACAAAACATCATAAAGACATAATCAACAATCAACAACCAGAAGCCGAGCACAGTGGGTGTGTTCAGAGCTGAGAGGACGGGGCAAGGGCTTGTGCAATACAACTGCAGGTGGGGCTGGTAGTAAAGTGCAAAAGTCAGATAATTAAATTAGGTCTAGAAAGGCCACATCAATTGATAAACCGATCAATCAAAGGCATGCAAGTTTTCAGATCTTTACGGAATGTCGAAAGGGTGGGCGCTAATCTAATCTCCCTGGGAATGAGTTCCAGAGCCGGGGGGCCACCACCAAGAAGGCTCTCTCCCTCGTCACACCAACTGTGCATGTGTCAAAGGTGGGGGCAAGAGGATGCCTCTCCAGCAGATCTTAAATTTTCTTGCAGGTTCATAGGGGAAGATGTGATTGTTCAGATAAGCTGGACCTGAACTGTTTAGGGCTTTATTGGTGATTACTTGCACCTAGAATTAGAACCAGAAGTTATTGTCAGTAACCTCATCGAGCACAGGTTGCCACCCAATACCCAGATTGGCTACATGACTGACCAGGAGGACCTCTGTCTTGTCAGGATTAAGCTTCAGCTTGTTAGCCCTCATCCAGTCCATCACAACAGCCAGACACTGGTCCGGGATCTGAGGGGCTTCTTTGGAATTAGGTGGAAAGAAGGAATAGAGTTGAGTGTCATCTGTGTAGAGATGGCACCAAACTCCAAAACTTCAGATGACCTCAACCAGCAGTTTCATGTAGATGTTAAAAAGCATGGGATGGAAACCTTGTGGTACCCCACAAGTCAAAAGCCAGGGTTCTGAGCAGGTGTTCCCCAGCTTCACCAACTGAGTGTAACCCTCCAGGAAGGAGTAGAGCCATTGCAGAGTAATGCCCTTAAGCCCCATTCCAGAGAGTCACCTCAGAAGGATACCATGGTTAATGGTATTGAAAGCCGCTGAGATGTCCAAGAGAACCAACAGGGACACGCTCCCCCTATTGAGCTCTTTGCGGAGGCTATCCACTAATGTGACCAAAGCCATCTTTGTTCCATGACCAGGTCTGAAACCTGACTGATATGGATCCAAATTATTAGTTTCGTCCAATAATACCTGGAGCTGATTGGCCACCACTCACTCCAGAACCTTGTCCAAGAAGGGGAGATTAGAAATTGGCTAGTAGGTGTTCAATATCGAGGAATCAAGGGACGCCTTCTTCAGGATTGGTCTTATTGCCTGTTTTAGGATGGATGGAATTCGTCCCTGATCCATCGAGGCATTTATAATCCTCGCAAAACACTCAGCTAATCCCCCACTGGCAAGTTTGACAAGCCAAAAAGGGCAAAGATCCAGTGCACATGTAGTCACTCTCACTGCTCCAAGGATCTTGTCCACATCATCAGGCTGAACAATCTGAAATGTATACAACAAAACCGGACAAGCAGGTACCTCAGTTGCCTCACTTGATACTTTGTCTGCAAAATGATGTGCAAACTCACCACATCGAGTTGTCAGGTGGTCCGGGGTCCCCTCCCTCTCATGAGGATGAGGAGCTCTCCAACCACCTGAAACAACTCAGCTGGTTTATTAGTTGCAGATGCAATGCAGTCAGCTAAGAAAGCCTTTCTGGCTGCCCTCATTGCAACTGAGTAGGCAAGTGCTTCACCTAGCATGTGTCTGGGCCAGATAGGGGAAAGGACTAGACTTTATTGGGGCAAGTGGGAGTACCAACCGCCCGCCTCTTTTTATTTTGTTTTCTGTGAAGCATGCAGCAGTTGTCTTACAGTAGCATCCTTTTTATGTTGAACTTACTGAATTCTTGCACACAAGATGCATATGTGGCCATAAGTGTTGCCATCAGTGCCACACACAGGTGCATGTTGATTAGGGCAGTCTGCCCCCTTGCCCTTTGGTGGTTGTGGAAACTTGCTGCAGTCAACCTATAAATACATTCCAGACAGTTTAAATAAATGCAGTTTAGTGGGCATTAATTTTTAGCAAGTTGAGCTTTGCTTGACCACCTATATCAACGTGAGAGCTCACAAGTACTTGTAGAAGAGACCTTGTCCCTCACCTTTCTGCTTTTCCATCTCCTCCTTTGTTGAACTGCTAAAATACATACAAATGAACCCTACTGGGTGTCTACACTGTATAATTAATGCAGTTTGTAGCTACTTCAGCTGCTGTATCTCAATACCATACATACAATGATGCGAGTTGGAGTTTTAGAAGATCTTTACCATTTTTTTTTTTGCAAAAGATTGCTGGTGCCTCATCAAACTACAATTCCCATGATTCTATAACAACAAGCCAAGGAAGTTAAAGTGGCATCAAACTGTATTTTACAGTGAAGCTACATCCCTAAACTACATCTACCCTCAAATCGCCTTAGAAGCCAAAATGAGTAAACATAATCATATGGAGAAAAAACTTATTCAAAAACTCAATAATGCTTGGTTCAGAGGAGGGCAGTAGGAAAAAAGAGGGCTACATTCCAGCTCAGAATCACTCAGTGAAGCCATGATGATGAGCAAGTCTGTTGAGATCAGGGTGAATTGGAGCTCTCTCATAAATAGGGTTGTCGTAAGTCAAAGCTGACTTGAAAGCAATTAACAGTAAACACAACATCATTGGGACCTACACAATCTTGGGGGGTGTTCCAGAGTGAGAGCAAGAGAACGCATTGCCTTCAATTCTTCCCCCCTTCCCCAAGTCTAGATGGCAAAGAATTGCTAGGGGACAATCAACAGAAAAACTTAGTCATGGTTTAATCTACACCAGGGGTCCTCAAACTTTTTAAACAGAGGGCCAGGTCACAGTCCCGCAAACTGTTGGAGGGCCGGATTATAATTTGGAAAAAAAAAAGAATGAATTCCTATGCACACTGCACATATCTTATTTGTAGTGCAAAAACCACTTAAAAACAATACAATAATTAAAATGAAGAAAAAAATTAACAAATATAAACTTATTTGAATTTAAATGGGAAGTGTGGGCCTGCTTTTGGCTGATGAGATAGGATTGTTGTTGTTGTTGTTGTTGTTGTTGTTGTTGTTGTTGTTGTTGTTGTTGTGTGCTTTCAAGTCATTTCAGACATAGGTTGACCCTGAGCAAGGGCCAGGTAAATGACCTTGGAGGGCCGTATCTGGCCCCTGGGCCTTAGTTTGAGGACCCCTGATCTACACCTTTAGTAATAACTTCAGTGCTACCACATAGTTGCTCCCCCCCCCCCCACACACACATTTGCCTTCCACCTTCTGGTATTAAAGTAATAATGGGATGTTCAAGCAATTGACATGTTAGCTTGGTAAATAAGAAGGTTTGATACCACCCTTGTTAGCTAGGACATAATGACCTAAACTTCACTACAGCTTTTTTAAACATGCATCTTAGGGCCATCCCATACTTTGTTGAGAGTATAAAGGAGTCCAGCTGTGTTCCCATACCCATACACAGATTGAAAATGTCTTCCATCAAGATCTACTTGGATCCTTCAGAGCTCTCTGCTATTTCAGGGACACCGTGAATTCTGGGTTGCTGAGAGACAGAAAGGGAATACCAGTCTCCACAACAACCCAATTTGTGTTTGAGTCTACATGTACATATTCATGATGAATACTGTAATAAATAAAATGGGCATGGCTTCTGAAGAACTTAAAACAGTCATTACATATTAGACTTTTTCAATATTTCCTTCAGTTCAAAAATTCTTATTTCTATAGGGAAGGTACTTTGATTTCAAATGAGAAAATAATGATACGTACGCATTCTCCTTTATGGGCAAGGTCTATTTTGGCTCCATTTCTAGAAAGAGAGACCAGAGTTAAGTAAGAATCTGACCAAATGTGTGAGGTATTTAGAATTATTATGATTATGATTATTATTGTTATAAGTCACAGCAGTAATATATCATGCTTTTTCTCTTCCAAAGGAAATTCAAAGTGGCTAATAGTAAAAACCATAACAAGGTGTGAATTAAAATACATACAAATATTAAAATAAAGCATCGGAAGTATTAAAAACAAAGTTAAAATCATGAAAACAATTTAAAATACATAAAGACACCACACAACACTACCTGACTTGGTTTTCAAAATGCTTTTCTTTTAAAGCCTACCTAAAAAGAAAAAAATTGAGCCTGCTGCTGGAAGGACAGCTGAGTGGGGCCATTCTGGCTTCCCTGGGCAGGAAGTTCCAGGGTCGTGGGGCAGCCACTGAGAAGATACTCTCTCATTCCCACAACCAAGCTTTGCAATGGTAATGAGACAGAGAGAAGGGTGTCTCCCAAGGATCCCAGGGCCCAGGCAGGGTCATACCAGGAAATACAACCTGCCAAACAGCCTGGACCTTCCCCACATAGGACTTTATAGGTCATAACCTATGTGTTAGCTGTTGGTTTTGATCTTTAAAGCCCTACATGGTTTGAGTCCAGGTTACCTAAAGGATCACCTTCTCTCATACAATCCACCCTGCATGCTTTGGTCCTCCGGGGGCCAGGGGAGGGGGGCTACTTCAACTAGTCAAAGCCAAACTGGCAACTACCACCCAGAGTACCTTTTTACCTGCCGCTTAATGACAGTGGAACAACCTGCAGGTAGAGCTCTGACAACGGGATCTGCTGTCGGAATTTAAGATACAAGTGAAGAACTATCTCTTCCAGCAGGCCTATCCAAACAGTTTTAATGATGAATTTTTACCTTCCATGGTATGCCTGATTTTTATTTTGTATGTTTTAACATGCATTTTATGGAAATACATTTTAATATATGTATTTTATGGAGTGTTTTTAAAAGATTGTGCATTTATATTTTAGTAATGCTGTACCCCATCTCAAGCCATGCAGAGAGGCAGGAAAGAAATAGAATTATTATTATTATTATTATTATTATTATTATTATTATTATTAATAATAATATTATTATTTTACTGACACACAAACACAGTATGTCACAGCACGTGAGATATATATGCTGGATTTTGTATCACAAAATCACAAGTCCAACACTTCCCAAGCATCTAAGACTGTGTGATGTATTTTCGAAAGATGTGTGCAGATCCAAGTAAGGCGGCCTTTTGCAGTTGACAGACCATGGTTTTGTTCATGTTTATTGTTTCCAAATGCCGGCTGTGATCTTTTGGCATGGCAAATAATAATAATAATAATAATAATAATAATAACAACAACAACAACAACAACAACAACAAAAACAAAAACAACCATAATAATTTGCCAGCACTATAAATTATGTCAAGAAGTAGACTGGCAGCCAGTGGAGCTGTTGCAACTTGGGGGTTGTGCACTCCCTATAGCCAGGGTATAATGAAGGCCTGTCCAGATCACACATCTCAAAGAATGAGCACAACTGGTGCAGAAGATTTAAATGTACAAAGGCACAGCTGACCACCAGGGAAATCAGAGCCACCAGGTTCAACAGTGGGTTCAGAAGTATCCCCAAACTGTGAAGCTGTATCTTCAAGGGGAGTGTAACCCCACCAGCACAGGCTGAGTCCCTATTCCCTAATCTGACTGACAAGAAACATTTCTGTCTTACCTGGGTAAAGTTTCACTTTGATCACTTAATGCCAATGGAACTGTAGAAAGCTCCTTCACATCATCATCCCATCCCACACAGAAAACAAAGACCAAAATGTGTGCTGCACTTTGCTAGCTCAGGAATGGAGACTGTTGAAGAGCGGGGTGGTAGAATGCAGTGTGTCAACATATGGTATTGTGCATTTATTTTCAGAGGTAAGTCCCTTGATGTCTATCCAGTGTGGCTTGCTCCCAGGTAAGTATGCTCAGGATAGAATGTTAAAATTTGTCACTCCAGGCCTGGCAAGAGATGAGCAACCTGCTGGGTGACTGGACTATCCTCATAACTGGTTTGTTTGTTAGAGCTCCTGGAAGCTGCAATCCAACAATATCTGTAATCCAACAATATCTGATGGAAACCAAAATTTACCAGTCCCAATCTACATGAAATAAATCCCAACTAGTCAGCTGCTATTTTTAATTGTAGAACACTCTTCACTTTCTTTATAACTGTTGTTTATCCAGTTGATGGACAGTTCCACAGATGTGGTTTTTCCAAAGGAATTGTCATGCCTAAATCATGGATGCCCAGAAGGCATCATTTTTAGTTTTTAACAGTTGTGTCATTTACATCTAAGCTTTGGTTTTTGCTAGAAAAAATAATATGATAAGACAGAATTAAAAATAGCTGCATAGTATCTACTGATTGCTTCAGAAAATCTTCAGTCTTATGTTTTCATCAGATGTGCTTCTTTGCCCGTCTCACACCACTTGCTCTCCACTTTCAACACAGAGCCCATTATACAAAACACCAGGACTTGGTGAATGCATGGGCCTTTGTCATGAGATCCTTAGTCATCCATCTTGAACTTGGATAACGCTTTATAATGTCATTTACTATGTTGACCTAATTATATTGCAACAAGTCTTGATACAGCAATAGATTGAAATTACTTGATGTGGGGACAGCTGAAGCCGTGTCAACCCTTGATTATTTCCTCAACCTTCCCTTGGGCAATGAACCGAACCCTGGATGTAGTCCAATTATGTTACTGAAACCTGTAGCGTTATATATATTCCTTTAGTTTTGTCCTTATCTAATTTATGGTAATCTGGTTTTAAGTTTGTGTAATGCAAAAATATTTAGTCAGATAATCTTGGTTTCCTTGGATAGATGTATTCATTCTGGTTTGAACAGTGTTTGCCCAAACATCCTCAATTCCTATGATCTAATTTAACCTGATACATCCATGGAACTTACATAAATGTATTTGATTAATGGAGAAATAAGATAATTTTATACTGTTTTAATGGGATGGTTTTAATTGTTTTCACATTTTTATATTTAGATATTGGTTAATTCCTTTTGTGAGTTCATTTGGGTCCTACTTCAGGAAAAAGGTGGCATATAAAGTAAACGTGTGTGTGTATGGGTGTGTATATATCTACTTACAGTCTGCCTTTGTCCAAAAGCAGTTCTGTTGAAGAATATGCATTGATTAGTACCCGTCATGACCTCACCTCCTCATATCAATGAATTTTGCAAGTACTCACAGGATTTCAGTACAAAGGAAACATTCATTGATATACGTCTTGCCATCAGTTCCACAGACTGGCTCTCCTTTCCTTTTGCAATTTATTGGAGCTTTTTGATGATGATCTTGTTGATGTACTTGATATTTTTTGCAATCAAGCTGCAAAAAATGGAAATGCAAAAGATTTGAGTACATAGTACCAAATTTTGAGGATACTGTTTTGCACACAATACAGCATAGAAACGTTTTCAATAAAAGTATTATTTGCTGTAGTCCAAGAAATCTAATACCTGCTATCAAATATAGCCTTACTCTGCCTAACATCACGGCCAACCTTGTCATTCCGCATTTAGAAAAAAAGAACCACAGAATATGAATATCTCTTTTGCTTATTTAGGAACAGAACAGATGGGCCAGGTATTCACTTCAGGTTAGACTGTATCTTCTGCTACTTTTTACCATTGCCAGCATTGACTAATAAGTACTGAGAGTTGCAGTCCAGCAGATTGCACTTTGCTCACTCTTGCCACAGAGCATAGTTTTGGGTTTGGGGAAGTATTGTTTGATCTTTATTTCATCATGCTTTCAACTGTGTCATGAGGGATTAAATCTGTTCAATTTTAAAATGTTATTAGTAATATTATTATTATTGGGCTGTTGTAGGTTTTTCTGGTCGTATGGCCATGTTCTAGAAGCATTCCCTCCTGACATTTCGCCTGCATCTGTGGCAAGCATCCTCACAACCTCTAAGGATACTTGCCACAGATGCAGGCAAAATGTCAGGAGAGAATGCTTCTAGAACATGGCTATACGACCAGAAAAACCTACAACAATCCAGCTATTCCAGCCATGAATTTGACATCATCATCATCATCATCATCATCATCAGATATATAACAAGATTAATAAACAGCAAACAAGATCACTAAGCTGGCTTTTGTATTTGATCACACTTCCCAAGTCTCTAGGACTGTGTGATGTATCGGCAAATAATGCGTGCAGATCCCTGTAGGTTGGTAATTTTTGTCATCACCAGTTGTTTTTAAGTGCAGGCCAAGGTCTTTAGGCACTGCGTCCAGTATGCGTCCATCACCACTGGGACCACCTTTACTGGCTTGTGCCAGAGTCTTTGCAGTTCTATCTTCATATCGTGTAAGCTTTTCCAGTTATTTCTCTTCAATCCTACTGTCATGTGGGATTGCAACATCTATCATCCATACTTGTTTTTTTCCCTGCGACCATGAGGTCAGGAGTATTGTGCTCCAAAATTCTGTCAATCTGAGTAGTTTGACATGTTCATTTTCGGTAACTTCTTCAGATTTGTGATCCCACCAGTTCTTTGTCACAGGCACAAGTTCCAGTGGGTCATCTAAGCAATGGTGTTATGCCTCTGCTTGTAGTCCACCTGCAGGATCTTCTTGCAGCAGCTGAGGATGTGACCCATCATTTCATCTTGCTTCCTTGCAGAGTCTCCACTTGGAATCTGTCATTGACTTTTCAATTCTGATGTTGATGGCATTGGTTCTAATTTCTTGTCCTTGTTCTGCAAGAATCAAGTCCTCCGTTTCCTTTTTCAAAGTTTCATTTGTGAGCCACATCCATGTTTTTTCCTTGTCAATTTTGTTCTCTATTTTTCCAAGGAACTGTCCATGGAGAGCCTATTATTATTATTATTATTATTATTATTATTATTATTATTATTATTATTGTAAACACAAGTAGAGTAATAAAATTCCCAGTAGCCATTCCACAAGGCTAAATCGAACAAACAGATAGTGATATTCCACTTACATTTTCACTCAATATAGTCTGTTCAAATAAGAAATTGAAATTGCTTTACAGCCCTCTCCACCTTACAATAAGAATCTTTTTTGCATGTTTTTAGTATGGCCTTTGAAAGTGTGTTTTTCTCTAATATTGTCTTATGAGATCCCAGCCGTAAGAGTTATTTATGGCTGTGTCTTTTCTATAATCTTTTCAATGCCCATCGTCCACGTGTTGGCTTGCTGAATTTCTGAACCATGAATTCAATCTATTTTTTCTTCTGCAAGCAATTGGACTGCTTCGAATGGATAATTACAAAAATGTGAATTCACCTTTTTTGCTGAAGTCCCTGTACCTGAAAAAAAGATCCAGAAAAACATTACAACATTGTTGAAAAGTATTCAGAATATCACCTTTATACATTATAGCCGTATAATGAGGGGGAAATGGTCTTTAGAGTAAGTAATCTGGATTAAAGCTAGATTAAAACAAGAGTCCTTTTTATCCAGGGGTCCTTAAACAGAGAGCCAGTTTTTAAACAGAGAGCCAGTTCATAGTTCTTCCAACTATAGTTTTTTTAAAAAAAAAACATGAATAAATTGCTATGCACCCTGCACCTATCTTATTTGTCGTGAAAAAAAGAACAATAAAGTATTTAAAATGAAGAACAATTTTAACCAACATAAATTTACCACTATTTCAATGAGAAGTGTGGGCCTTCTAAAAGGCTGATGAAATAGTCAAGTTAATTGTTGCTGTGTGTCTTGTTTCAGACTTGGGGCAACCATAAGTCTAAAGTCTAGGACAGAAGCCAAGTAAATGATCTTGGAGGACCAGATCTGGGCCCCGGGCCTTAGTTTGGGGACCCCTACCTTTATGTGTCAAGTTACCATAGCACCCAAACAAAACAAAAATTAGTGTATCTTTCTAGCAATGATGTAATTTTGAGGCCCTCATAATTTGAGTTTTCTCCTTTGTGGCCAGTAGGTAAAGCTGCTAAGACGGCTGAGCAATGACCCCTACAAACTAATACCCATGCCAACATAAAGGCAGATCAGATAGCACACCAACTCATGAAGAATGGGAAATCCAACCTCGCCACCAAAGTAGGAAAGAAACCAATAGCCAGACAACAAGAGATTGAGAACAACAACCTTCATGAACCCTTTACATCTACTGAATTGGACATGGCCCTCAATAAATGTAAAATGGCAAAGCAGCTGGCCTGGATGATCTACGGATGGAACAAATCAAGAACTTTGGTCCAAAAGCAAGGTGCTGGCTGCTGGAGCTGACGAACAACTGCACTGCATTCTGTCAGATCCCCAAAATCTGGAGGAAAGCAAGAGTCATTGCCATCTTGAAGCCAGGCAAAGCCGGTATGATCCAAAAAGCTACAGACCAATTTCCCTGTTGTGCCACCTCTACAAAGTTCTGGAGAGACTTATTTTGCATAGAATTACAGAAAAAATAGAACCATGTCTGATCCCACAGCAAGCTGGCTTCAGGAAAGGCAAAAGCTGCACATTGCAAGTGCTGAATCTGACTCAGCACATAGAAGATGGCTTTGAAAGGCAGCAGATCACAGGAGCTGTCTTCATAGACCTGTCAGCAGCTTATGATATTGTGAACCACCACCTCCTCCTGAGAAAAATGTATAATAGCACAAAGGACGGGGGACATGAGAGAAGCCTCCTCGCAGGATTGCAAGACATCCGGGCGTCCCCTGGGCATCGTCTTCGTAGACGGCTGATTCTCTCGCCACAGAAGCGACCAGCATGCAAGCAAGCAAGCAAAACAACCAACGGTCCTTTTCAGGACCAACCATGACAATAATCTCGATCAACATCAAAGGCATGTCAGCTGCCAAAGAGCAACTGCTCTATGAACTGTGCTAAGATAAGAAATGTGATGTGCTGTGTGTCCAAGAAACACACAGGGATGAACAACAGAAATGACCCAAAGTTCCAGGAATGGTCCTAGTAGCGGAAAGACCACATGCGCAGTATGGAAGTGCCGTCTTTGCCAAACCAGGCCCCCAAGTCAGCAGTGCCCACAACACTGAAGAAAGCAATATAGAGGTTATAACAGTAGAGCTTAATAACATCACCATCACCTCTGTGTACAAACCCCCAAATGAAGAGTTCTGCTTCTCCTCCCCCGAGAATTTTGATAGGCACCAAAGGGCGGTAGTAATTGGTGACTTTAACAGCCATAGCCACGTATGGGGCTATGCCCAAGAGGACAGAAATGGAGAGGCTGTCCTGTCCTGGTCTGAACTGCACAAACTATCACTCATCCATGATAGCAAGCTCCCACCATCCTACAACAGCGGGAGATGGCACCGAGGTTATAACCCAAACCTCCAATTTGTGAGCGACAGCATCATACAGCAATGCACCAAATCAGTGGGACCACCAATTCCAAACACACAGCACCGACCAATAGTATGCCAACTGTTCCCAACAATAAGGCCTCAGGAAGTTCGATTTAAATGAAGATACAACTTCAGAAAGGCAGATTGGACTAAATTCTCAGACATGTTAGATGACATGATCACATCGGCCGCGCCAATCCCTGAGGAATACGAGCACTTTATTGAAATCGTGAAAACCTGCTCACGGGCCTCCATACCGAGAGGCTGCAGAACCAACTACCTTCAGGGCATTACCCCTGAAACAGCTGCCTTGTTGGAAAACTATTACAGGCTCCACAACGAAGACCCATTTAGTGAGCAAACCCTTCAGGCAGCGCAGAGCATTGTGTCCTCCATCTCTGAAGCCAAGAAAGAACAGTGGATCAAGTTGATCACAGAGGTCGACATGGGAAGGAGCAGCCAGAAGGCGTGGAGGCTGCTGAGACGGCTGAGCAATGACCCCTCACAAACTAATACCCATGCCAACATAAAGGCAGATCAGATAGCACACCAACTCTTGAAGAATGGGAAACCCAACCTTGCCACCAAAGTAGGAAAGAAACCAATAGCCAGACAACAAGAGATTGAGAACAAAAACCTCCATGAACCCTTTACACCTATTGAATTGGACATGGCTCTCAATAAATGTAAAAATGGCAAAGCAGCTGGCCTGGATGATCTACAGATGGAACAAATCAAGAACTTTGGTCCCAAAGCAAGGCGCTGGCTGCTGGAGCTGATGAACAACTGCACTGCATCCTGTCAGATCCCCAAAATCTGGAGGAAAGCAAGAGTCATCGCCATCTTGAAGCCAGGCAAAGACCGTAATGACCCAAAAAGCTACAGACCAATCTCCCTGTTGTGCCACCTCTACAAAGTTCTGGAGAGACTTATTTTGCATAGAACTATGGAAAAAATAGACCCATGTCTGATTCCACAGCAAGCTGGCTTCAGGAAAGGCAAAAGCTGCACATCGCAAGTGCTGAACCTGACTCAGCACATAGAAGATGGCTTTGAAAGGCAGCAGATCACAGGAGCTGTCTTCATAGACCTGTCAGCAGCCTATGATACTGTGAACCACCGCCTCCTCCTGAGAAAAATGTACACTATCACAAAGGACTACCACCTCACCCGCCTCATAGGAAACCTGCTACAAAACAGGAGCTTTTTTGTTGAGTTCCAGGGCCAGAGAAGCAGATGGCGGAAACAGAAGAACGGCCTGCCTCAGGGGAGTGTGCTTGCTCCATCCATGTTCAACATCTACACAAATGACCAGCCACTGCCAGAAGGGACAGAGAGTTTCATCTATGCTGATGACCGTGCCATTACTGCTCAAGCAAGGAGCTTTGAGTTGGTAGAACAGAAGCTTTCCGAAGCTCTAGGTGCTCTTACTGCCTATTACAGGGAAAACCAGCTGATCCCCAACCCATCTAAAACACAGACATGTGCCTTTCATCTCAAGAACAGACAAGCATCCCGAGCTCTGAAGATCACCTGGGAAGGAATCCCACTGGAGCATTGAAGCGCACCCAAATACCTGGGAGTCACTCTGGACTGTGCTCTTACCTACAAGAAGCACTGCCTGAACATCAAGCAAAAAGTGGGTGCTAGAAACAATATCATACGAAAGCTGACTGGCACAACCTGGGGATCACAACCAGACACAGTGAAGACATCTGCCCTTGCGCTATGCGACTCTGCTGCTGAGTATGCATGCCCAGTGTGGAACACATCTCACCACGCTAAAACAGTGGATGTGGCTCTTAATGAGACATGCAGCATTATCACGGGGTGTCTGCGCCCTACACCACTGGAGAAATTACACTGCTTAGCCAGTATTGCACCACCTGACATCCGCAGGGAAGTAGCAGGCAATAGTGAAAGGACCAAGGCAGAGACATCTCCAGCTCATCCCTTGTTTGGGTATCAGCCAGCACGCCAACGACTTAAATCTAGACATAGTTTTCTAAGATCTACAGAGACACTCGCTGGAACACCTCAGCAAGTCCAAAAGTGGCAGGCCCAAACCCAGCACCTCAACCAATGGCTGATACCCAATGAGAGACTCCCTCCTGGGCACACAGAAGACTGGGCGACTTGGAAGGCACTGAACAGACTGCGCTCTGGCACCACGAGATGCAGAGCCAACCTTCAGAAATGGGGCTACAAAGTGGAATCCTCGGCATGCGAGTGTGGAGAAAAGCAAACCACTGACCACCTGCTGCAATGCAACCTGAGCCCTGCCACATGCACCATGGAGGACCTTCTTGCAGCAACACCGGAAGCACTCCAAGTGGCCAGATACTGGTCAAAGGACATTTAACCAACTACCAAACTCACAAGATGTGTATTTTTCTGTCTGTTTGCTTTGTTCTGTTAGAAATGTAATATATAATGGACTGGTTGCTCTGACACGACAAATAAATAAGCACAAAGGACTACCACCTCACCCGACTCATAGGAAATCTGCTACAAAACAGGAGCTTTTTTGTTGAGTTCCAGGGCCAGAGAAGCAGATGGCGGAAACAGAAGACGGCCTGCCTCAGGGGAGCGTGCTTGCTCCATCCATGTTCAACATTTACACAAATGACCAGCCACTGCCAGAAGGGACAGAGAGCTTCATCTATGCTGATGATCATGCCATTACTGCTCAAGCAGGGAGCTTTGAGATGGTTGAACAGAAGCTCTCTGAAGCTCTAGGTGCTCTTACTGCCTATTACAGGGAAAACCAGCTGATCCCAACCCATCTAAAACACAGACATGTGCTTTCACCTTAAGAACAGACAAGCATCCCGAGCTCTGAGGATTATCTGGGAAGGAATCCCACTGGAGCATTGCAGAGCACCCAAATACCTGGGAGTCACTCTGGACTGTGCTCTGACCTACAAGAAGCACTGCCTGAATACCAAGCAAAAAGTGGGCGCTAGAAACAATATCATACGAAAGCTGACTGGCACAACCTGGGGATCACAACCAGACACAGTGAAGACATCTGCCCTTGTGCTATGCTACTCTGCTGCTGAGTATGCATGCCCAGTGTGGAACACATCTCACCACGCTAAACAGTGGATGTGGTTCTTAATGAGACATGCTACATTATCACAGGATGTCTGCACCCTACACCACTGGAGAAATTATACTGTTTAGCCAGTATTGCACCACCTGACATCCGCCGAGAAGTGAAGCCAATAGTGAAAGGACCAAGGCAGTGACATCTCCAGCTCATCCCTTGTTGGGGTATCAGCCAGCATGTCAATGACTTAAATCAAGAAATAGTTTTCTAAGATCTACAGAGACACTCGCTGGAACACCTCAGCAAGCGAGAGTCCAAAAGTGGCAGGCCCAAACCCAGAACCTCAATCAATGGCTGATACCAAATGAGAGACTCCCCCCTGGGCACACAGAAGACTGGGCAACTTGGGAGGCACTGAACAGACTGCGCTCTGGCACCACGAGATACAGAGTCAACCTCAAGAAATTGGGCTACAAAGGGGAATCCACAACATGCGAGTGTGGAGAAGAGCAAACCACTGACCACCTGCTGCAATGCAACCTGAGCCCTGCCACATGCACAATGGAGGACCTTCTTGCAGCAACACCAGAGGCACTCCAAGTGGCCAGCTACTGGCCAAAGGACATTTAATCAACCAAGCCTGCAAACTCTGTTTTCTCTGTTTGTTAAAAATTTGTTAGAAATGTAATACAATTGTTTGGTTGATACTGACACGATAAATAAATAAGTAGGCAAATCTTCTAATGTCTATCAAAGTAATAAAACCTATCAGAAATCCCTTCAAAATGAGTCCTTCAAAGTTGTCTCTCTCATGTTGGAGGGCTGTCATGCACATTTATTATTCTTGATGACAATTCATGGGAAGGAAATAGTTCTGGATCCAATGACCAGACATTTACATCAACGCCAGCTCCAATAAACTCTTATTTTGGATATATGATCAGCTAATAGGAATGCTCATATCTTAAACATTTCTCTTTCCTCAATTTCCATGCTCATCCTCTCCCTATTCTTTGTACTTATATATTAAAATAAAATTCTATTTTATTGAAAAATTAAAATAAACTATACATTTCAACATAATTAATGGAGCCCCCAGTGGCGCAGTGGGTTAAACCCCTGTGCCGGCAGGACTGAAGACCGACAGGTTGCAGGTTCAAATCCAGGGAGAGCGCGGATGAGCTCCCTCTATCAGCTCCAGCTCCTCATGCCGGGACATGAGAGAAGCCTCCCACAAAGATGATAAAACATCAAAACATCCGGGCATCCCCTGGGCAACGTCCTTGCAGACAGCCAATTCTCTCACACCAGAAGTGACTTGCAGTTTCTCAAGTCGCTCCTGACATGACAAAAAAGACAAACCCATAATTAATTACAATCAAGCAAAGTAAGTGGCATCAAAAGAATTGGTTTCCTCCTGCTGTACAATGAAAATTGGAAAGAACACTTACCTAGAAAGAAACAACAGCTCACAAGGGAAAGGATCACAGCGATAGTAGTTATCTTCATGGTTAAGGAAGGCAGGCTTCTCTTTGGATTCAGCTGGTGCTTTGCTTTTCTCTGTCAAATAGGTTTCTGATATGGATTTCCAATGATCAGCATTCTTAAAGAATTTTCTTTGGGGTACAGGTGAGGGAAGAGAAATGCTACTTCTCTTCCTTTAAGATATGATCTCAGAAAATTTGCATATTGTGTATGTACATGTGGTAGTTGGGGGTAAAAAAGAGATCCTAAAAAAAGTTAGATCTAACAAAAGCCTACAGACAGATGGGCTGCCTCCTACAGAGAGAGGCTTTTCACCTAGTGCACCTCTTCAGCTCAAACAGTGTGAAGTTGGCAGTGCTGCATCCAGGAGCAGAGGAAAAGTCATGCATTTTTACTCTCACCATCACTTTCCTGCCTGCAGAACGGTTTTGAATACTCTTCTTGTAAGTATTCTTTTCAGGGCAATAATGATAATAAAACACATGACCCAAGTACCTTGCCTTCATCAAAAGTTGGCCAGAGTAATCAATGTGGTAATTCCAATGTGAGAAGGAGATTGAAGCCTGCATCCCCTTCTAGATGGGATTTAAGGAGAAGGATGGGATTAGGGACAAGAGAGGTCAGAGATAAAACAAAGTGTGCAAGGCTAGCTGTAATCTTAACAGTTTGGGTATGTTCTCATCTTTTGAACAAGCTCTTATGCATCATATTTTCAAGCACACAAAAATGCAACTCTTTTCCACATGACTGCAAAGCACATCTTAGTTCCAGGCATGTTATTTAAGGAGATGATATTAAAAGATTTATTAACCTAATTAGCTAAAATTCATCTGTATTTTTAAAACTGTTATCCAGCCATCTTGTGGTTAGAGGAAGTTCACCCTTAAATGTTGTGGAGTGTTACCATCATGCCTGTTCAATGAGCAGCACATGCATTGTGCCCATTAAAGTGTATATAGTCCTGCCCATCAATTGACAGAAGTATCTGATCCAACAGAAGCTTCTCTAACTACAGGAGAGAGGACACAGTAATTTTCACAGGTTCTCCTTTGAGCAGATTTGAGGGTACAGAGGCTACAGACAGAAGGAGGAATTCTCAAAATGACTCATTGTTTTCATTTAGCTCTAGCTCAAAAACTCTACAACTGGTGAATAGTTTCCATTGAGCACAAATTGAATTTAAGAACAAATCAACAGAACTATCTTGGGGAAAGTTTGTTTTTAAAGTTGAAAAACAGTAATAAAATGTTATCCCCTATATCAGAGGCAACCTCCATGCCACTCCCTGTAAATCGCATGGTCTGGTCCACACCAGTATTTTGATTATGAGTTAATCAGTGCTAACTTCATTAATCAAATATTTCAAATTATTGCAATAGAAATTAGTGTCACACAAGGCAGGTTTGCAAAATATGAAAATATGTCTCATATATCTATATCTATATCTATCTATCTATCTATCGATCGATCGATCGATCAATCGATCGATCGATAGATAGATAGATCTCCTCATTATATGTGGCATTTACTATATGGTGGACTTTGACAGGGGATAACTTTAGAAGGATAAATTTTCAAATCTGTTTTGCCTCCATAGTCTCCCTCCTTTGGAAAATCACTCTACCACAAAAAGGGGGAAGATGTCACTGTGTGAGGTTGCCTTAACCAGTTGAAACTGGATTTTCCAGTTTGCAACAGTAGAATGAATAACGTAAAAACCTGAGGTATAAGGAAGTATTTCTTCCCTTTTCCTCATTAAAAAGTCACATAAGGAAGTCTGAGGAACAGAGTGGGGGCATAGTTGACAAAAACTGGCTCAATGGTTGTAAAATAATGCGACAAAGAGTCTACATGGCTGTATTTAGAGCAAGGCTGGCATTGTGTTTTACTCTGAAGAAGACAATTCTCCACAAGGCATTTTGTTGTCATAGTTGGAATCACAGATGGCATCCCATACCCGCCAGGATATATTGCAGAGCTTTCCCAGCCTTTCAAAATGCTTTTTAGACCTGCATCCTTGCCCAAATCAGTAATTCAATTTTACTAGCAAAACAGAGCTTAAACTGACCCTATATAAGAGAAAAAGAAAAATACAGTATTTCAATTATAATAAAATGTATGAGGACACCACATATCTCATGAAAACCTTTCATTTATATAATTTAAACTATTTTTTTTGTGAGATAACATAAATTTCTAAGATTATTGTCATTTATGTATCACAATATGTAAATAATATGTGTCAGAATTAAAACACCATATAACACTAATAAAATGCTACTTAACATTTTAATAAGATGTATGAGGATGGTCGGATGGACTCGACATTTGATTGGTGGAATATTGATGACATGTCATCAACCATTTTTAAACTCCCACATTTCAGTGATTTTAAAATTGTCATCATTGAAAAGGATAGTTAATAAATAAATGTAGTAGAAAAGTCCAGAAGAATTTTTTAAAATTTATGTTTGGATACATCTTTGAACCACAGATCCAAAAGCTATCTAAGTCACCCTCTTCATACATCATTAACAGATTTTGATTTTTTCCCCCAATTTCCGCTAATGCTTCTTCAATAAGTGAAAAGTTCTTTGTTGCAGTTGAAAGAAATGAATTTCTAATCCAATTTCTTGGATTTCAATATTTGGGAAGTAGTGATGAAATCTCTCTCTAAACAATGTTAAACAATCAACAATTAATGAGCTGATATCACAGTTTAACCCACACTCAGCAGCTTAGGAAAACATTTCAAAATTTTCTACTTCAATTTCCTTTCTAAAGTGTTAATTTGTTTTTCGTAGCACAAATTGTATCTACTACTGTTAAGGTATTATCACCTTTTCCTTTCATGCTAGTGTTTATTCAATTCAAATGATCAAATATGTCAGCAAGATCTGCCAATTTTGTGCACCAAAGTTTGTTCTGAATTAGTGTGGACTCAGATAACTCAGTTTAAAGCAGATATTGTGGGATTTTCTGCCTTGATATTATGGGATAGTGGGCTGTGTGGAAGGGCCCTGCGATAACTCATATTACTGATTTTCCTCAAAATGTCTAAACATCAGTTCCCTCAATTCATATGCATGGCAAATTACTGAACCTCTTGAGAGTCAGCACATTTTCTGCTTTGATATTGTGGGATATAAGGCTGTGTGGAAGGGCCCCTAGTGTAGTAGAAATCTTGTCTCCATTTCTTCACAAACATAAGCAAATAATCTTGATTTAAGAAGTCTACTTTTAATGTAACCACTTTGTCTATAATCTTTTAAAATTCATTTGCAATGGTTTGTGTGACTACTGATTAGTGCTTTGTGATGTAAAAAGCAATGAGCAATCACCACCATGTTTTCATTCTCTTTCTCTGTTAAAGCTATAAAACCTGTTCTTGAATCAACCTTTAAGAGTGCACCGACTGTACTTAGTCCTTGACAATTTAACAATTGAAAATAATTTTCCTTAATGAAGCAGTCTAAAATGTAAATATTTCTTCACCTCTAGTTAAATTTCTGGTCAATAAGTGGAATCAAAATGTAACCAAGGCTATGGACATGATCACTACCAAACACCCTAGCTAATCCTTTACTAATCAGTCTCCATGGTATAAAGAAACCCTCAGGGAAATGAGGGACAACAAGTAGAGCACAGATGGCAGACAATCCAACTTCTATGCGACAAGACACAATATGGAGGACATCTCAATTCCTATCAGGTAGCAATATGTGCAGTGAAAAAAGCTGTCTTCTCTGAACTTATTGCGTCTGTAGATTCACATCCAGCTGAGCTATTCAGAGTAGTGAGAAGTTTAACTCAGGTACCCTACCCTTTAAATCCATTATTACGAGGGTTATCCAGAAAGTAAGGTTATAATATTTTTAAAAATACAAAGAATGAATATATTTTAATAAAACTTGTATGGATTGTAGCATAGATGTTACATTATTTTTCCACATAATCACTATTCCGTTCAATTTATTTTGTCATCCATGGGATGAGTTTTGATGCCTGTGTCATAGAAGTTTCCCTCCGCCTTTTTCAGCCAGTTCATCACTTTGATTTTCTCCTCGTCATTGTCAGAAAAGTGCTTTCCATCAAGGTGTTCCTTCAATTTAGTGAACAGATGATAGTTAGTCACTGGGTGTGAGGTGGTGGCTGTGAGAGTGGCAGCTTAAAACATCCCAACCAAATGAAGTCAACAACACTTTTGTTGCATGAGTTGTGTTCAGACATACATTGTAATGAAAAAGACAGAATCCTGCCATCAGCATCCCATGACTTTTCTTTGGATGGCTCTGTAAAGTTTCTTCATGGTCTCACAATATATTCCATTCCCACTTTGTCACATGCTGTCTTGACATTACGTCCTCTCCATAAACTGAAACGATTTTACAATGAATCACAGAGGCATTATGCCTTTAGCATTTAGGTAGCATATTACAATGTGAACTTTGTACTTGGAGGGAAACGGAATGACGATGCTCATCTCTAACCTTCAACACAATGACAGTTGATGAGCTACTGATGACTGGCACTGCTCATTCACTTCCGTTGGCTTCCCGCTACACAGCAATGATACCAACTTCCCTCGCGAAAATTCCCCATGAGGGCTACATGCCTTGTAACTTTACTTTTCAGATAACCCTTGTAGAGCCTCCAGTCACTCACTGTGATGCCTTTAATATACTTTTTGAAGGTAATATTTCTCTCATAAGAGCCGACTTGGATGCCGTCATTGATACAGAACTCATTTATGAGTGTCCAGCAACCCTGTGATTACAATGGCTCAATTTCCATTGGTAGGTATTATTGATGTTGACAAGTAAGGACAATCTGCTTTCTTGATTCCTGCCCATCTTGGCTAGTTCTCCAAGGAGGGGACGCAATTCACTTTCCGTACAGCTATTCCACACAACATTTCTCTGGGAGGGAAACTTTCCAATGTATTTAAAAGAAGCAGTAGTTAGAGCATTTAAAAAAGAGTTAAAACCTGGCTCTTTAAGCAGGCATTTGCAAATGCAGTGTAACAGAATAATTCAGACCCACGGAACAATTGGACAACACAACGGAAAATGATTTTAGTGATGAGACGCTGAGGACTTGTGTTTTATGGCTTTTATTGTTTTATTGTTTTTATATGGTTTATATTATATGTTACAGTTTTTAACTGTATTTTATGTATGTTGGTAAACCACCTTGAGTCACCTTCGGGTTGAGAGAGGCGGTATATAAATATGGCAAATAAATAAATAAATAAATAAATAAATAAATAAATAAATAAATAAATTGGTGAAAAAGCCCTTCCTGGATCCTCTGGACCTTTTAAGTTACAGATGAGTCTCTAACCTTCTTATTTTGGGCATTGTCATTAAGAAGGCAGTTGCTCTCCAACTCCATGCAGTCTTGGATGGCATACACTTATTTGACCCATTTCAAACCGGCTTCAGAGCACGATATGAAGTTGAGACTGCTATGGTTGCCCTAGTGAATGATCTCCGCTTTAACACTGACAAGGAGAGTGTGTCCCTGTTGGTGCTTCTAGACCTCTCAGTGGCTCTTGATATCATCAGGGGTTGGGAATCAAAGGCACTATGTTGCAGTAGTGCTGGTTGTATCTCGCAGGCCAGTTCAAGATGGAGGTGCTCAGAGATAGATGTTCCTCAAAGAAGGAGCTGTTCTATCCCCAATGCTTTTTAAAATTTACATGAAACGGCTGGGAGAGATCATCTGAAATCATGGGGTGGGATACTATCAGTATGCTAATGACACCCAAATGCATTTATCTATGTCTCCAAAAACAGTTTTAACTAAGGATAAATAAATCTGAATATGTTTTAAATGAATGGTTTTAGTGTAAATGAATACTTTATTAAAGCAAGTGGGGAAACTTATAGCTCACAGGTTACCGTAGGCCTATGGGGTGCCTGTTTGACTTATCCAGCACCTCTCTGCCTCTACCAGCTGTTGGGGTTCTTGGTGCAAACATCCAAATGTTTGGAGGAAATAAATATTTTTGCACACCTTTCTTACCTGCACATTTGTGGTAAAATCTGCAATCTAAGATGCAAAAGGCAGTGCCTATTCACTGGTTCTGATTTGTGTAAAGGTTTTTATGCATTGCATTTATGTTGGTAAAAAAAGGATAGACTCATTAAGCTTTAATTCATTTTATTGAGGCAAGATAACATATTTGGAGCCAAGGAATTTGAACACACAAAAATTGGGTGAAAATCTTTATGAAGAACTCTTTATTATTTTCACCGGATCACTACTCTGGCCTCCTGCAAATGTGCAAAAGAAATTGAAACAAAGAATTAGAACACTTCCCAAGGCAATCATTTTCAAAATGTGGATGACGTGCTGAGTACTGTACAAAAAATGGATGTACTCAAAGAGAAAGTTGCTATTCTATAGGATACCAAAAGAAAATTGCTGGGGAAAAAATAAGACTTTAATGTTAGTCAAAAATTAATATTGTGATAAGAAACTATGTGACTTTCTGATATTGGATCCAGTGGGATTTGCATCTGAGCAAACATGATTGGGCTTGTGTTGGTACCTATCAATGGTTTTGTTTTTCATAGAAAACAACTTTCCTAGGCATATTATTAGTACCAGAATGAATATAAGTAGATTTGCAGAATATCTTCCCACATGCAACTGCTTCAGGAAAGAATTACCAACTTGTAAAAAATAGGACATACCTTTGATATGCATGGTCCTTCTTTTTTTATGCCAATCGGTTTTCCAGATGACCTGAAATAACAGAGTGGTTTGTATGAAAGGTATTATGAAAATGTATTCTGCCTTATAGGTCTCTTGTGGCCATAGCAAGTTACATGCAGGAATTGCTGGAGCACTTTATTTCTATGTTTTTTATTCCCACCTTTTGGCCATATGCTCACGATTGAAATGTACAGTTCACTGTTGAAAATGTAATAAGCGTGAAATAAGTGGCTGTGGGACAGCTGCATGCAAATGCCAGATTACAAAGTGTAACTTACCATCAGGGAGAGAAATAAAATAAAATAAATTTATTTGGTTGCAAAATGCTGACTAAATGATAGATACAGGCTACAAATATCTATGAACAGGGATAGGGACCACAACTCCCAGCATTTTCAGAAGTTCATCAACTTTTGACGGACTACATGAGTCTTTCTCATACTGTAGAAGCCATATAGAGTGCTGAACACTTTCCTGTGAGCTTGTGAGCCAGAATCTGATGAGGTTGAGAACAAAAACCACAGTATCCCTCCCCTTCCCTTCTTTCTGATTGTAGAAAAAGTGCACCCTATATCCCACTGCAGAGACATGGCAGATCCAGATCATAGGAGATAGTGCAAGGGACTGGAAGGAACTGAGTATAAAATAGACCAAGGGAAGATACTTGAAAATTCAGTGAAGCAACAGCATTTACTGAACAGTAGTGGAGAACTTAGCAGCTCCCTTCAGATATTAGGACTCCCAACCAGATCGGTTGTGTTATCTAAGGGCCTTGCCACATGCACTGCAGGAATCGCTGTGGCTCGTCACAGATCATGGTGATTCTGGTGGTGCCCATCCAGAGGGCATGGGTACCTATCACATCTTGCCCTTCATCGTCCCGGCTTCCCCCCACCTCAACACATGGTAAGAAATTCATCAACCAGCTTGTCTCATTAAGGGCAATGCAATACAGGAAGCCTTTTATGTTGCTGCTGGAGACTTTTTAGGGTGGCGTCTCCAGTTCTGTAGCAGTTCTGCCCCAGAGTCACCATAGAAATACTTCTCCAGTGTGTGGTGGTAGCCTGTGGCCTCTGTGGCAAAGCTGCTGCAGAATGGAATTGCCACTGAAATTTGCTCTGTGGGGAGAGGTCGTTAAGCTAACCAAAAGTAATAGACATGAGAAATTTCCCAGTCATAGGACCATTCAGCATCTTTTCAAGCATGGAGAGGCACTGAGCTCATCACATGAGTTAAACTACTTCTGGAAGTCATGCATAACCCTCTGTGGTTGAAAAGAGGCAGAAGTGTCCTGAAAGGAAGACACTCTGGTGATCAACCTCATCACATTGAGAAATTTCCTCTTTGTAGGACACTTCAGCCTCTTTTCGAGCATGGAGAGGCACTGAGTTTATCACATTTTCTGGAGTTGAAAAGAGTCAGAAATATCCTGAAAGGAGGGAATTCTGAACATGGGCTAGCAATCGTTTTCAGAGTTTCTACCTCTTAACTCCTTACCATTTAGTTACGGTTCCAACTACAAAACAGGTGAGGTGGGAACCATCAAAGATTCTCATCATAGTTCAATGCCCAATCATCAACTGTCTCTGGAGTGCTAGATAAAACTGCCTGAATAACTGAGAGTACCAAACTAGAATGCATCTTTCAAGGGAGTGAGCTCAGGGTAGACAGTAGATAAAATGTCAGTTTGAACAAAATAATGAGATCTCTTCTTGTGCAAGATTTTACTTGCCATGTGTGTGGACTAGATTGGGAAAAGACCAGACTTTATGGGGCCAAGGGAGAATACCAACTGCCCTTCTCTCTGTATTTTGTTTTCAGTGAAGAAGTACAGGTCCATGCAACAGGTCTATAATGAGTAGCCGTTGTCTTAACACTTTTTAAAGTTAAACTTACCGAATTTTTGCACACAAGAGGCATATGTTGGAATAAGTGATACCATCAGTGCCACACACAGGTGCATGTATTTGGGGACAGGCTGTCTTTTTTCCTTTTGGTGGTTCTGGAAACTTACTGCAATCAACCTATAAATATATTTCCGACAATGTAAATAAATGTGATTTAATGGACATTAATTTTGAGAAAGTTTTGTTAACTAGCTGCATCAAGCTGGGAACCACAAGTACTTATAAAAGATATCTACAAGTCCCTTCCCCATCCTACTTTCACATTACACCCTTCACTGGACTTCAAAAAAGATAAATAAATGGGTCCTAGAATGAACTCTCCCTAAAAGCCAAGATGATGAAACTGTGGCTGCCATACTTTGGCCATGTCACAAAGAGTGAGGACTAACTAAAAAGGTCAGTAATTCATGGTAGAGTGGAGCGTGAAAGGAAAAAAAGAAGACCACTTCCAGATGGTTGGACCCAATTGGAGAAGTCAGGGCCCTGAGTCTGCAAGACCTGAGCATTGAGGACAGGGTGATTTTGAGACCTAATTCATAGGGCCACCCGAAGTCAAAGTTGACTTGAAGACAATTAAAAGAAACCCATTGGGATCTACACAATTTTGGGAGTTGTTCCAGAGTGAGAGCATAGAAAAGTAGGCCTGTTTGATCAAGAAAAAATTTGTTTCTAAAATCGATTTGTAATTGGGGTGTTTTTTTGTTTCGATATTTTAAATATTTACAAAACTTTCCCAAAAAAAGTTTTGATATTTACGAAATTTCGTAAATATTAACAAAACATTTTGTAAAGATGGGGCCTTTTTTTTTCAATATTTTTAAAATATTTTTTAAATTTAATTATTAAATAATTTAGTAGAATAGGGAGGAGAAATTAAGGGAAGGCAGGCACTCACTCTAGCGAGCCCTCTCGCTCGCCGCTCGCCCTCTCGCTCGCCGCTCGCCCTCTCGCTCGCCGCTCGCCCTCTCACTCGCCCCCTCTCGCTCGCCGCTCGCCCTCTCACTCGCCCTCTCGCTCGCCGCTCGCCCTCTCGCTCGCCGCTCGCCCTCTCACTCGCCCTCTCGCTCGCCGCTCTCACTCGCCCTCTCGCTCGCCGCTCGCCCTCTCGCTCGCCACTCGCCCTCTCACTCGCCCTCTCGCTCGCCGCTCGCCCTCTCGCTCGCCGCTCGCCCTCTCGCTCGCCGCTCGCCCTCTCGCTCGCCGCTCGCCCTCTCACTCGCCCTCTCGCTCGCCCTCTCACTCGCCCTCTCGCTCGCCGCTCGCCCTCTCACTCGCCCTCTCACTCGCCGCTCGCCCTCTCGCTCGCCGCTCGCCCTCTCACTCGCCCTCTCGCTTGCCGCCCTCTCGCCCTCTCACTCGCCCTCTCGCTCGCCGCTCGCCCTCTCACTCGCCCTCTCGCTCGCCGCTCGCCCTCGCTCGCCGCTCGCCCTCTCACTCGCCCTCTCGCTCGCCGCTCGCCCTCGCCCTCTCGCTCGCCCTCTCACTCGCTTGCTCAGCCGGCGCGGAGAGAGGAGAGCTCCCAGCAAGCCAGGCGGCCATCTTACGTATTTCCGAAATGGACGGAAATACAAAATTTTTTGGCGCCTGCCGTTTCGATATTTAAAAACCCTTCCGGGTTTGAAAATATGTTTTGTTATTGTTTCGTATATGCAAAAATTAACGAATGTTTAACGAATTAACGAATTAACGAACGAAACCGCACAGGCCTATAGAAAAGCATTTTCTTTTAGTATTACTCTCTTCCCACTAGATGGCAAATAACTGGCAGGGGACAATGAACAAAGAAGACAAATAATTGTTTAATTGTTGATTTCATTTTTTTTCAAAATGATACTTACACATTCTCCTTTGTGGGCTAAGTCTATTTTGGCTCCACCTCTAGAAAAAGAAACCTGAGTTAATTAAGAAATTGGCCAAATATGTGAGGCATTTAGAAACTAAGCATATAGTACTGATGGAGTGCAATGTGACAATACACAATTTTGGGCATTATTTTTTCAGGGGTAAGTCCCTATATGTTATGATTGCACTTTCTCAGTGAGGCTTGCTCCCAGGTAAATATGCAAAGGATAGTATATTAAAACTTACCCCTTGCCTTGCAACATATTGTCTTTCCTCTACAACAGAGATGAGCATGTCATGGGCTGCAATTCTTATCAACCCCCATGACAGACATGTTTACTACAGCTGCTGGAAGTTGCAATCCAAAAATATTTGGAGAGTCATGAATTGTCAGTTCTAATCTACTTGAAATAAAACCACTCAACTGCTAATTGAAGAACAAATTCAGAAGGATGTATTCAAGCTTCCCTATTATTTGTGTTCTTCCAGTTGTTTGACAGTTTCGTGTATGAGGCTTTTGTAATACAACTGTCCTGTTTTAATTGTGGCTTTCCAGATGGCATTATTTTAGTTTTTAATTGTTGTGTTACTCTCTTCTACATTGATTTTTTTGGTAGAAAATAAAATTTGTTAAGAAGGAAGAAAAAATAGCTGCATAATCTTGGGCAAACCCTCAGTCTTAAGTCACCCATCATGAACCTCAATAGCACTTTGTAAGGTGATTTATTAAGCTTGCAAAATTTCATGATCTGGTCCCAAGTGTCCAGTTTACATGGACCATCTTGAAGGAGGAGACAAGAGTGCAAAATCCCCAGTTTTGATGGGTTCAGCAAAAGCAGAAAGAAAACTCACTTTACTACATTCTGGAGGGGTTTATTGATTTGATGAGCATGGGATCACAAGGCCAAACACAAAAAGCTGGGTTAAAGAAGGGCCACATTATTGATTTAATGATATTGTAACAAGTCTGGACTAAGCAAGAGGGGAATTTACTCGATGTGGGTTTAGCTGCAGCCCAATGTCAACCCTTAACTTTCCCTCAACCTTCCCTTTGGCAAAGCACCTGACCAAAGGCGCAATCCAATTGTGTTGCTGAAATCTATCAAATTCTATATATATACTTAGTTAATTTTGTCCTGTCCTCAGTTGTAGTGCCAAGTGTCAGAGCTTATTAAGAGAAAACTTGGTGACATTGCTCAGAGCAGCTGTAGTTGGCATTTCATGTATAACCCTTAAGATACACATGGTACTCGGGACATGGTACCGAGACAGCCTTGGTCACCTTAGTGGATGATCTGCGCCGGGAGCTCGACAGGGGGAGTGTGTCCCTGTTGGTGCTGCTGGACCTCTCAGCGGCCTTCGATACCGTCGACCACGGTATCCTTCTGAGACGCCTCGCGGGGATGGGTCTTGGAGGTACTGTTTTGCAGTGGCTCCGGTCATTCCTAGAGTGTCGATCTCAGAAGGTGTTGTTGGGGGACACCTGTTCAACCCCACAACCATTGTCTTGTGGGGTTCCTCAGGGCTCAATATTGTCTCCCATGTTGTTTAACATCTACATGAAGCCGCTGGGGGAGATCATCCGGAGTTTCGGGGTACGGTGTCATCTGTACGCGGATGATGTCCAACTCTGTCACTCCTTTCCACCTGCTACTAAGGAGGCTGTCCAGGTCCTGAACCAGTGCTTGGCCGCTGTGACGGTCTGGATGAGGGCGAACAAATTGAAATTGAATCCAGACAAGACAGAGGTACTCCTGGTCAGTCGCAAGGCCGAACAGGGCATAGGGTTACAGCCTGTGTTGGATGGGGCCGCACTCCCCCTGAAGACGCAGGTTCGCAACTTGGGTGTGATCCTGGACTCATCGCTGAGCCTGGAACCCCAGGTTTCGGCGGTGACCAGGGGAGCATTTGCACAGTTAAAGCTTGTGCGCCAGCTGCGCCCGTACCTTGGGAAGTCTGACTTGGCCACGGTAGTCCACGCTCTGGTTACATCCCGTTTAGACTACTGCAACGCTCTCTATGTGGGGTTGCCTTTGAAGACAGCTCGGAAGCTCCAACTAGTCCAACGCTCGGCAGCCATGATTTTAACAGGAGCGGAGCGCAGGGAGCATACAACCCCCCTGTTGCGCCAGCTCCACTGGCTACCGATCTGCTACCGGGCTGAATTCAAAGTGCTGGCGTTGGCCTTTAAAGCCCTAAACGGTTCCGGCCCAAGCTACCTATCCGACCGCATCTCTGCCTATGAACCCACCAGGACTTTGAGATCTTCCGGGGAGGCCCTGCTCTCGATCCCGCCTGCTTCTCAAGCTCGGCTGGCGGGGACGAGAGATAGGGCCTTCTCGGTGGTGGCTCCTCGGCTGTGGAACGCCCTTCCTACGGACATTAGACTAGCACCATCTCTAATGGTATTCCGCAAAAAAGTGAAGACCTGGCTGTTTGAGCAGGCGTTCGAATAATTAGTGCAATGATTGGTTAATGAACACTGGAATGGAACAATGGATGACGAATCTGGAACATGTTTTTGATGACGAGACGACAGTGAATGGGTATTGTAGTAACTGTTTATTAATTGTGTAATGTGTTAGGTTGTTAACTGTTTTTATACTGTAGCACTGAATTTTTGCTGTTCGTATTTGTTGTGAACCGCTGTGAGTCGCCTTCGGGCTGAGAACAGCGGTATATAAGTAAGGTAAATAAATAAATAAATAAATACACGTGCTAGTAATCTGAAGGTTGGACTTCTGTAATATGCTATACATTCGGCTACCTTTGTAGCTAGTTTGGAAACTCCAAATAGTTCAAAATAAGGCAGCTAGATTGATAATGTGAACCTCTAGAAGCGAGCTTATTACACCTATACTATAGTGACTCCACTGGTTTCAGCTTTTGGTCTGGAGACTGGAACCATCAGGGCTTGCAACAAACCTGATCTGGAATCCCTGGCATTTATCATGTTCTTTTTTTTTTTAAGTCTGCAATGCAATAATGTTTACTTAGATAGTTGTCTTGGTCTTGGGTAGATGTATTCTTTCTGATTTGAACAGTGAGTATCCAAACATCCTCGGTTTACTAATTTGATGTTTTTGGGGCCTAAATCTACTTGTTATTCCTAACTGGAGAAGATATAATAAATCAATGGAGCTTCTTTAAATGTTGGCTTGCTATATTTTATTAATGGATGGAGATGATTTTATATTATTTTATTATAATTTTAATTGTTTTACATTGTTTTAATTTTTAATGTTTAAATATTTTAATTTATATTCATAATTTTGTTGTTTATCTAATGTCAATTTGCTTTTTACTGGGATTGTTGTTGCCATTGGCATCTAATGGTTTCAAGTTGTAAGCCACACTGAGTCCCTCTTTCGGGGTTGAGTAGGACGGGATACAAAAGATTTGAAATAAATAAATGTTTAGATATTGGTTGGATTGTTTGTGAGTTGATTTGTGTCTTACTCTAGGAAAAAAGCAACATATAAAATAAATGAGTGTGTGTGTGTGTGTGTGTGTATATACACATACAGATCTGAGCTATGCAAAATATTTAGAATTTCCCTTTGTCCCTTTTGGAAAATATGCATTGGTTAACACCTTTCATGATTTCACCAACTCATGCAAATGAGCTGTGTAAGTAAGTACTGGGCTGTGGCACAGCTAGTTAGTAGCCAGCTGCATTAAATTACTATTGTATGTATACATACCTTGTAAGACACTCTGAGTCCTCTTTGGGGTGAGAAGGGAGGCATATAAATGTCACAAATAAATAATAAATACTGACCAAGAGGTCATGAGTTCAGAGCCAGCCCAAATCAGTGTGAGCTCCTGAGCATTAATCATCTAACTTGCTGTTGACCTACGGAGCCCGAAAGACAGTTGCATCTGTCAAGTAGGAAATTTAGGTACTGCTTTATGTGGGGAGGCTAATTTAGCTAATTTCCAAGTTAACTAATTTTTACAATGCCATAAAACCTTACAGCAGCATGTGTAACAATGAGGAAATACTCCATCAAGGAATCAGTGTCGCAAGTGGATGGTGAAGTGGCAGTTCCCCCTGTGGCCAGAATCGAGCATACCCTCATGAAGCCAGAAAGCAGGAATGTTAAATTGCCTCTGTGTCTGTCTATATATGTTGTATATCTAAATGGGATTGAATGTTTGCTATGTATATGTGTATTATAATCCACCCCGAGTCCCCTGCAGGGCGAGAAGGGTACAATATAAATACTGTAAATAAATAAATAACTACTTACAGGATTTCAGCACACAGTGAACATTCATTGCCATAAGTCTTGCCATCAGTTCCACAGACTGGGTCACTTTGCAGAGTGCAGACTATTGGAGCTTGTTGTTGTTGTTGTTGTTGTTGTTGTTGCTGCTGCTGCTGCTGCTGCTGCTGCTGCGGTTTATACTTTTTGCAATCAAGCTACAGAATAATGGGAATGAAAAAGATTAGAATACACAGTACTACAATTCAGGACAATCGTTTTTACCCACAAGACAGAAAAGACCCCAATATCTTCTTCATTAGTAAATACACTATTTAACCATTGACTACCTTTACTTAGTCTACTAGAAGTTGCAGTCCATCTGCTTCTTGAGGGCCACATTTTGCTCATTCTTGACACAAAGAGTAATATGTTTTTTCAGGGGTGTTATTAAAAGATAGCTTTAAAAACTCCTTGTATCACCTTCATCAAATAAAGTGGTGTTTCAATAATGGAACAGATACGTGACATAATAAAAGATTGTGTTTTGTCCCATGAAGGAGGAGATCTATTAAACCACAAAGGAAATTGCGCTAAAGCTCGCCTCCCCCCTTACAAAGAGCTTTTTTTTTGTATGCTTTAAACATAATTTTTGAAAGTGTATTTTCTATTTTTTCAAAATAAAAAAAAATCAGAAACATGTTTCTTAATGTCTGTGTAAAAGGACCGGAGGTGTCCAGCAGCAATCATATGAATGTCTACTAGGTAACAAGATCTGTTATTTTTCTGTGGGGTTTAATTCTTTATTTCTGTCTTATGTATGGTTACATCTCTTTCTACAATTTTTTCAGCACCAACTTTCATGTTCTGTTTTATGAATTTCTGAACCATGTTAAAATGCTATGGCTGAATTCAGTCTATACTTTCCTGTGCAAACAATCGGATTTTTTCAAAATGACAGTTACAAAATATATGAATTTACCTTATGTGCTGAAGTCCGTGAACCTGAAAATAAAATTCAGAAAAGCATTACAACATCATTGAGAAGAGTTTGGGATATCTCACAAGTATTTGGGATATTTCACTTGAGAGGCAAATGGTGTTCAGATTTAGTAATCTGGACATTCTCTATTAAAACAAGATAAATCCCTTTTATGAGTCATGTTAGAATCCAAAACACTAACACCACCACCCAAAACAAAATAAAAATTCATGTACCATTCTATCAATGATGTAATTTTGGAAATTCAATAGGAAGTTGTCTTTCAGGCCCTCATAAATTTAGTTTCGTCCTGCTTGGCCAGTAGATAAATCTGCCATTGATTACCAAACAAAGTAATGATTCTTATCAGAAGGTTTTTTTTTTTGTCTATGAGTCCTTTAAAGTTATCTCTCCCATGTTAGAGGGCTGTCATAGACTTTTACCATTCCTGACGGCAAATCAGGGAAAGGAAACAGCTTTGGATCCACAGGTCCCAAGGCTTCTTTTGGCCTGCACCATTACTTTCCATTATGGCATCACCACCAGAGTGCAATAGCAAAGCAACAATGGTGCTGGAAGTTTCCATCAATACAACAGGGCATCCATCAAAGGTCTTTCTTATAGGTTATGGAGAAAATGGTCCAGTAGTGGAGATGCATGTCATTCAATTTTTTTCATAGTACACTTTTCTAAGAGCATAAGATTGCTCCACAGACCCAATATATAAGACTTATATGTATTTTAAAATTATGATCCTGCAATGTTAGTCTGAACTGATAGTCAGTATGGTTGGATATGAGTAAAGAAGACTCGGTGTTAGACAAATTTTAACCAGCATTCATTAACCAGAAATTCTTACCAATGTAAACTTCAAACAATTCTTATTTTGGATGTATAATCGGGTAATAGGAATAGTTATACATTTAGAAATAATGTAATGGAATAGAAAGCTATCACAGTTTTCATTCTGCTGTACAGAGAAAATGAAATTTACAGTATGTCCCTAATATGTGGAGCCATGAAGGTTACAGTGCAGTCGAAATGCGTATTACCTAGAAAGAAACAACAGCCCACAAGGGAAAGGATCACAGAGATGGTAGTTATCTTCATGGTTAAGGAAGGTAGTCTTCTCTCTGGATTCAGCTGGGGCTTTGGTCTTCTTTGTGCGATAGGTTTTTGACACACTCGAGAGCATATTTATAGTATTCTATCTACAAATGCCATCTCATTCTTCACTGTTATCACAAGTATTTCTGATGATCCACATTCTTAAACAATTTTATTTGGGGCAGAGGTGGAGCAAAAGGAATGCTAATTTTCTCCATTTTAGATATGCCCTCAGAAAAATGTGTGTGTATGTGTGTGACTAAAGGGTGAGGAGGTTATTTTTTCTGTATATCCCATTCCACATCTCATGGAAACTTGGAGGGACAGGGGGTCAGCTGGAACAGTGTGAAGCTGGTAGTACTGGCTTCAGGAGCAGAGGACAATGCATGTAGTTTTACATTCATTACCACGTTCCCACCTCTTTCCTGCCATCAAAACTGGAAGGCAGATTCAGGGATCAGGATTCAGCCTGGACTAGATGGAGTTACAGTCCCCCTGAAAACATAGGTCCACAGTTTAGTGATCCTCCTAGACTCCTCCTAGACTACCATTGAAGCTAGAGAACTAGGTTTGTGCACTTGTCAGGAGTGCATCTGCACATTTTAAAAATACTGCATCAACTGCTTCCATTCTTTCAGATGGCAGGTATGGCCACACTGGTAAATACCATAGAACAGTGGTTCTCAACCTGGGGTCCCCAGATGTTTTTGGCCTACAACTCCCAGAAATCCCAGCCAGTTTACCACCTGTTAGGATTTCTGGGAGTTGAAGGTCAAAAACATCTGGGGACCCCAGGTTGAGAACCACTGCCATAGAACCTCATCATATACAGGGATAGAAGCGTTCTCTCCCTGCTTCTCTCTGCTGCCAGCACATAGTCCCCTGGAATCCATCACATGATGCAGGGCCCCTTCTGTAGGACTCCATCCAAGTAGCATTGCTACAGTGTATACCCAACTCTTCAGAGGAGAAAGCCAGAGGAGCTGAAGAGGAAGTGGGGGAACAGCAGGGAATGATTGTGTGAAGGGAGTCTGCGAGGTCCAAAGGGAGGTGACAGACCCTGACAGGTCATTCCGCTGCCCCATGATTGTCCCCGCTGTCCACTGATTTACCCCTGTCCATCTGATAAGATCCTGAGCACATCCTATCTGTCTTACTGTAATGCACTCTACAGGGTGTGAAGAGTTTTTGGGAACTTCAGCTGGTCAAAACAGCTGTGGCTAGGTTGCTAATGGGGACTGGCTAAAGGGAGCAAGCATCCCCTTTGTTGCAGAAGCTCTATTGACTGCCAGTTGGTTCCCAAGCACATTTCAAAGTGCTGAGTATGACCTATACATCCATTTATGGTTCAGGTCTAGGCTACTTGGCTGATCGCATTTCAATGTACAAACCTGTCCATTCCCCGAGATCCTCAGAAGGGGCCCTTCTCTCAGTCCCATCTCCATCGCAAACTCAGTTGGTGGAACAAGAGATTTTTAGATTTAAAATTGTATATTGTATTATTTTTAGTGTTAACAACTTCAATAAATGTAGTAGAGAGGTCAAGGTAATTTTCACAGGTTCCATTTCACTGATTCCCCTTTGAGAAGATTGGAGGGTCCAGAGGCTACAGATGGAAGGAGGAATTTTCAGAGTCACTTGTTATTTTCTTTTATGGACATCTGCACTGGCTACAATACTCTACAACAGGTGAATTGTTTCCATTGAGTCCAAATGATGGTTTACCCTATTATTACCAGAGAAGTCTCCATGCCATTCTCTGTAAAACCCGTGGTCTTGTGCACACCAGCATTTTGATCAACAAGTTAATCAGTCTTAACTTAATTAAATATTTCCATTAGTGCTGACAAAAATGGGTGACATCGATGGCAGTCTCCACTGGTTCCAGAACTTTACATCGGGGCTATTGTTTCCATTGAGTCCAAATGATTACCAGATATAGTCTGTGGACTCAGGATGACTCACAAAATAAAAGGTCAACATTCAATGCCATAAACATACAACAATAAGTTATACAATTCAATTAAATAATATAAAAAATTCAATCTGCAAACAATCACATAGAGGGCAATAAAGCAAATTATAGTGGAATTTGAAAGGAGATACATTTTGAAAATTACTCTACTGCAAATGGTGGGAACATGTCACTGTGTCAGGTTGCTTGAACTAGTTGATACTAGATCTTCCATTTTGCAACAGCAGAATATATAACATAAAATTGAGTAACAAGGAAGTGTTTCTTCCCTTTTCTTCATTAAAAAGTCATATAAGGAAGTTGGAGAAGCACAGTGGGGTCCATAGCTGACATAACTGGTTCATTGGCAATGGTTGTAAAATAGTGCAACAAAGAGATACGTGGCGGCTGCATTTAGAGCAAGGCCGGCATTATGTTCTACTCTGAAGAGGACAGTTCTCTACCCGGAGACATTTTGTCTTGAAGGCCTATCTGGTCCAAAGGGTAACCCTGTAACAAAGAGGTCCAACTTATTTTGCTGCCATTGTTGGAACAACAGTTTGCATCCCATACCAGGATAAGATATATTGCAGAGCTTTTCAAACACTTCATACATGGTTTGAATCCAGGTTACCTAAAGGATCACCTTCTCTCATACAATCCACCCTGCATGCTTTGGTCCTCCGGGGGCCAGGGGAGGGGGGCTACTTCAACTAGTCAAAACCAAACTGGCAACGATCACCCAGAGTACCTTTTCACCTGCCGCTTCATGATGGTGGAACAACCTGCAAGTAGAGCTCTGACAACGGGATCTGCTATCGGAATGTAAGATAAAAGTGAAGAACTATCTCTTCCAGCAGGCCTATCCAAACAGTTTTAATGTTGATTTTTTAACTTCCACAGTATGCCTGATTTTTGTTTTGTATGTTTTAATATGTATTTTATGGAAATAAACTTTAATATATGTATTTTATGGAATGTTTTAAAAAGTTTGTGTGTTTGTGTATATTTTAGTAATGCTGTTCCACATCTCAAGCTGTGCGGAGAGGCAGGAAATAAATAAAACCATTATTATTGTTGTTGTTATTTTACTGGCACAAAAGCAAAGTATGTCACAGCAAATGACAGCAAAAAGTGGGTGCTAGAAACAATATCATACGAAAGCTGACTGGCAC